AAACTGCAAGTGGCGTATAGAAAATCGAGGTAAAGCAGAAATGGTAACAGCTTGGGGAGCCAACTTACATACATAGGTACTTTTAAATATTGATACTCATACTCGTACATTTTATAAATATCTGCTTGTATATATTTTGTTTTTATTTGCGGTTTCGTGTGCTCGCGGTTAACGTAGCACGTGGCTGCGTTCGTATAGCGAACTATAAGCAACTTCTAGTGCACCGGAGACGAAGAGATACCCAGTAGGAACAAGATTTTAAATCTTATTCTTTAATGAGGATTATGTTGATTGTATGCTTTTACACCGAAAGTGATTTCGGTACTGGAAAAATCAGATATGTCTACTGTTGATAACTGAAAAAAAGGTTTAGAAAATACTTAGATCAAAAACAAATCAAGTACTTAAAAGCCAACATTCACAAATAATTTTTCAGAATATTATAGTTTTTTTTCAAAATTTTTATTTTTTTTTTAGCTTAAATTTTCGGTGAGCTTCTCAGCTGAGATTTATGAAATATTTCCTTTTAATAAATGGAATAAAATAAATGGTATCACTTAATATCTCAAATTTAGCTTATTATGAGAGGGAAAAGCCTTTTAGAAAAACTATTTAAACGCCATAAGAACTTCAAAACTCTGGGATGTGCTCTATAGCGCATGGAAGTACAGGAATATGTAACATTCAGCAATATGTCTATAACATACTTAGGCAAAGCACAAAATCCGGGATCTTTAACCGTTAAAACAAATAATCTCTATTATGTGGTGAGATTTTCACACTAGCATACATTAATTTGATTTTCTAAAAACACTCCAGAAAACACTGAATTGTAAGCTTTTATTAGTAATGATCTTTTTTTTAAGTTATCCTGAAATGTAGATATATTTAACTACGATCATAAACTGTATATATTGGTGAATTTATAGTAATATTTTTTTTTCTTCCTCAAGTTGACGTTAAAGTATACTTTAAAACTGAAAGTTTATTAGTACTGTAAGAAAGGAAATGTTCACAATGAATAATTTTGTTCATAATAATCTACTGCTCTTCCAGTGGCAATTAACTGTATACTGAGAATTTATGGTTAACTTAGTACAATTGTTGTAAGAGTTTATAGCTATTACCCTTAATGATCCTTAGTCCAATTTTTTGGAAATTTTTACTAGACTTCATAATTTTTCCTGCCAGGCACTTTTGCACTCTTTCTCTACTCATTCACATTTAAACGAATGTACACAATGTAAGTAGATTGCGGATCACAACGAGCTAATATGAGCTTATGTGCAATGCGCATGCGTAAGTTCGAGGTCAAAACACCGCGGCCCGAGGCTATTTGAACTGTGAACAAAAGACAAAATAAATACAATTTCTTATAGTTTTCATTCAACAGTTAATTATCTTCAGTTTCTTGCGTTTTTGTGCAGAAGATTTATGTTAAGCGCAAAAATTTTTAAATTTTCCAGTTAATTTTTTTTTTATTATTATTTTGTGCAAAAATTCATTACTGAAAAATTTACATTCAGATGAGAGCAAACGTTTTTTGAAGTAATTTGTTGCATAAAAAATAGATAAAAAAAGACATTAGTTAAATGAAAATAAGCATTATGCTGCACATGCGCAAAGGCATGCGCTTACAAAATTGGAATCGTTTTATGTCAGGAAACGCCAACGTACAACCGAAACTGTTCGAAATGAAATGAAATAAAACAACTTTAATTAACGGATTTCGTGCAAAAATTCGCCCACCTTTTTTGTTTTTTTGTAGAATGTAACTGTACTCAAACAGCGTTAAATCCGCTAATAGCAATTAAGCACCACGAGCTAAATTTTAATGGCGCCCAGCGCTTTGCCAAACAAACGGTTTAATAATAGCCACATGCCACGCGCAGCTCTAATTGTTTTTCTTCCTCTGCAAGCATGTTCGTTCGCCTTTTATTTTTACTGCTATTTGCGATTTGCTATTTTCTATTGGATTTTATTTCTTAATTTCTTGCCCATCAACGGTTGAGCTTCAGCTGCCGATGCGCTTTCTTGATCAATACAGTTAAGCGAATTAACGCGCAGCAACATAATAACAATAATAAACGCGCGCAAAAGTAGTAACAACAACAGCAAATGACTAAAAAATAATATTGTGAATGTAAAACACGTAAAAACGCAGTAAAAACTTAACTTTGCTTAGTCTACAACAACTCTTCAAATATTATTTACTTCTTCACACTTGAATGACTTTGATTTGTTGTTGTTACTTAATTAGGCTGAAAAATCGTCAGAAATCGGTCAAAGAAAACTGAAAGTGGCGCTAAAGTATCCGCCTTCTCACATAAATTGGCCGTTGCGCTCACTCGGTCAGCATCGTGAGTATTAAGCACTATTAAATTTAAATTGCCGTTTAATTCCTTAACTTCTCTACAGTTTTTGCGCGCCCGCAAACTCTTAATATGGTTCGTGTTGTGTTCTCATGTTTTTATCCAAGCGTGTTAACGGTATAAATCGCTTTCATCGATTTTCGCAACTTAATTTAGTTACATTTTTATTTGTATCTTGATGCTGATATAACGGCATAACGAAGCAGTTTCGTTTACTGGAGAGTATATTTGAAGATCGCTTATAACTCGTAAATGTTTTTTTTTTTTGTGCTATCAACAATGCAATATAATACACATACTTACGTAGTTATACGTATGAGGAGAATGACACCTGTACAAGCTGGTTGCCAGTGTAATCTTTTTCCAAAAAAAATAAAAAATTCTCAACTATTTCAATAAAGATTTGTATCAAAGAATTAAAGTTCGGGCCTTTTTTATTCATTTTACAACTTCGACTGGCTTTGTATTACGAAAAGTCACTTTATCATGGTTAGAAAAAGCATTAATGTACCTATCTGCGTAAAAGATATTTATAGCCTGAACCGGGTATATTTAACCAAGAGCTTTGTAACGCTCAGAACGAAACGTTGGATACCCTAAAAGGTATATATATAAATATATATGTAAATGATAAACAAGACGAGCTAAGTCGATTTAGCCATGTCCAACTGTTTTTCCGTACAATCAGAAGATATAGATGCGAACTGGTGCCTCAGTTTTTGGGATATTGATCTAAAATTTTACATACGTCCTTTTCTGCTCAAGAAACTGTTGATTTTCCGGAACCATCAGTATCGGCTTACTCTAGCAAATAGCTATCATATAAACTGATCGGTGAAAATCAAGTCCTTGCATGAAAAACTTTCATGTTTGACATGCTATGGTCACGATATTTAGCATGGTTTATTGTACAGCATTGGGCAGCGCTAAAATCTCCAAACAAATTGTTCAGATCGTACCGCTTTAGCATATAGCTACTATACGATATTACGATAGTTTCGAATAACATTTGATTTTCTTTGTAGAGAGTCTTTTAGTGTCTGATATGTACCTAACGGTTTAAAGTCGGCTGAGGAATATTTTATGTTATATCGATTATTTTACTTTAAGCCAAATGCATACACCAAGTTAACTGTTTCTGAGTTCTCAACATTAACTCCAACAACCATCTATCAGTTAAGTTTTGTTAACTCAACCGAAACCGGGTGTTGGTTCGTTGAGCTAACCAGACATTGAGAAAATGGCTCCAAGATTGGTTTGTCCACTTACTTCTTCATACTGATATTTTTTTCAATAATGATAGAAATATATATTAAGACAAAATACATTGGTTCGTAACGGTGGTTAGTCTCTTTTTAAAAAAGATGTAGACAAACGGAGTGAATCTAACTCTATCGGTCATATAATCCGTGTCTATATTGGTTCAGTTAGATTTCTACAAAAATATTATACGGCCTTAGTTCCAGTTATAATATAGACCTTCCAATAATATTGAAACAACAAATGACCTGGTGAGATGCCCTGAAAATCTGCTAGATAAAACTAGGTACCAAATGAAGAGTCAAAACAGCGTTAAAAAAGGTCATGCTATGGTTAGCTGCTGAATAACACAAGGTAGGCTTTTAATGAATACATAACCTAGGAATTATTACATATGAACATGGGTAAACAGCGTTACTTGGTTTAATCGAGAGACGCAAAAGAACGAGTAATAAAATAATAGCATAAGTAAATATTCAAAGCCTCATACATTTTATATAATAGTATATGACTTCTGTGACTACTATATTAATGAAAAATATCCTTCAAAATGTATTTCATAAAAAAATGTCAGCGCAGAATTGCTCAAATATCGTTCGTGTCATCTAGAGCCAGTTCTTAATTATACAAGTGGCTACTTCCATCGAACTTAGATAATACTTTGTATTACATCATTTAAATTTTGTGAACATTTTGAGTAAGCTAATATTACTGTCAATTATGGAAATGTTTTCCAATATATTATATATTTATAATCCAGGTTCCAGAATATATAGAAGGTCATAGCATAGTATGTAAAAATTGTATCAAAGCTCTAAGAGGAATGTGAAGAAACTGTCTTTCTATGTATTTAGTATCCTAAAGAGCTTTTCGTTTCAATACTTTCTTTTCTATTAAAAAAAATTTTTTTTAAACAAAACTTTTGCACTAAAAATACTATATTAAAACAAAAACAGATAATATTAAACTGAATAAAAACTGAGAGGCAACAAATCATTTTTAAAAATTTCACAGCTTCCTAGTATTATATATACATAGTTTCGCAATAAATTGCTTCAAACGATAGTGAAAATTCCAAAATTACTGTTACATAATATTTTAAAATTTCTATATCCAACTCTTTTCAAATTATCAGCACATCAAAATACATAAGAAATTCACTACTGCAATTAGTTGTTGTTGCGTTATACATAATTTGTTGCAATTACCGGGCACAAGCGGAACTGCCGACGATTAAACTCAACTCAACTAATGCCAACGAATTTCTGTCTAATTTTCTTTAATCAAAACAAAAACCAGGAAAAACAACAAACCAATTAAATGCACATAGTCTATTAACATTATATTTTCTCTCACGCAATTTTCCAGCGCATGCGCAGCTATCAACACATCGCAATGTTGTCGCCAACACCAGCACGCGCAATGAAAGCAACAACAATAGCAAAGACAACCACTTCACTAGTCACATTTGTACTTCTTCTACTACTCTCATTAAACGGCAGCGACGCGCAAACGCAAGCGCTTTCGCGAAACCAAAATGCAGAGATAACCGGCAAACCAACCATCTACAAGCCTGCCGTTATACGCACGGAACTACGCTTTGGACGTAACCTGGATCCGGAAAAGGTGCGCGTCGTCAATTTGAAATCCAACACCGGCGACAACGTCGAAATTTTGGTTGGTAAAGACTCGAGACGCGGACGACTTGATGATGCAACAAGTAGCTTCTTTGTGCGTAGCGCCGATGTACGCAAACCAACGCCACGCCCGCAGAATGCCAAACCCTCCGTAATTAGTTTCCAACATACGCCAGCGTTGTTGAAACAAGTGGAACTGGCGCGTCAAAGCAGAGATTACCAAGAGCGCAAGGCCGAAGCTGAAGCTCGTCAAGTGCTAAAAATACAAAATGCCTTGCGTCAAACTGACAGTACGCCGCCCACTAGCGGCAGAGCGCAATATGCACGCGGTTTACAATTTCGTGACGAGCCACAATGGCAACGTCAGCATCTTGTGACGCAACAGCGCGCCGCCGATGAACTCAGATTTATGTCGCCGGACGCACAAAAGTTTGGAGGCCCCATCAACTATATACCCATTGCGCAGAGTACAAATACCAATAACAAGAGCTTCTCATTTCCCTCCGAAGCCGCCACCTCACGCAGTCAACCCATCGCTCGCTCTTGGCAACCGCTGGAGTCCGTGAGCGCGCCACATGCACGCAACATGCGTCAAGCGCCCGACCTGTACAACAACAATGCTGGCACATATCCACTCGGAAATGGCTACAGCTTCCGTCCCATCTTCAATGCCGCTCTACGCTCTGTTGCCGAGTATTATACAAATACCGCAAGTAATCAGGATACTGCACGTCGTGCCACGCGCCCTAAGAATATCATCACCAAAGATGACTATGTGGTGGCGAGCATGAAAAAGACCACCTATATACCCGCAGCTGTAGTGTTGACCTCATCTACAGCCGTCATGCCAGCCAATAGTAATAGTAACACTAAAACTAACACAAATTTCGACAGAAACAATTACAATAACCAATACAATAGCAAAAAATTGACCAATCAATATACTAATACTTACAAAACACCCTCTCCAAAGCATCCAAAAGTGCCCAAATTGAGAGACACACCAACGAATCAGTATGCTGCTGCTTCAGCGCCCACCTCAACGATCGTTGACGGTCCAGCGGTAACAGTTATTGAAGGTGTACGTGTGCCCGATGCGCCCGAGGACAAAGTTAGAACCTGGCGAAATGCGCGTGTGCTGAACAACAAGCTCGTACCTTACCCGGATGGTTATACGCCACCAAAAGTGCAGATTCAGCATTTTGATAGATGAGTGCATGAACGCACGTGACCACTGCATAACTATAGTTATTTAACTGCCAAAAATGAAAATGATTTCCGATTATTTCAATTACTTCGTGATTACACTTTACCTTTGGCATAGCTGAGCGAAAAAAGAGGAATAGTAGTGAGTGAGTGTGTTTCAACCAACAACCAATTAGTTAATTATCCTATGTTCTACATTAATACTTGTTAAAAAAAAACAGCAAATTGACTAAATGAATCGCCTACCTGAAATGCCTATAAGAGTTCATTAAAATTTTACGAGCGAAGCTATCGTTTTTATAAACATTGTTGTTGCACACTTTTTGTAATTTATTTATGTATATTTTAAATATTTAATTTAAGAAAGCTACAGGCAAATAAAAACTAAAAGAATTTATCATTTTTAGTCATAAGATATTGTTTCTTTTTATGTAAAATAAGTGGCATCCCTTTTATTTTCAAACTATTTATAACATCTATATATTTCTAAGCAACTGCCGAAGGCAATTAACGACAGTTTTAAATAATATTATTTTATTAAATATTATATAAACATGCATACATATGTGTTAGTAATTAAGTTATGAATAAAAACCTTTTTGTTTCCCTCCTTTTCTGTTAATCTATTTTGAGCATTTTAATTACCATTTGAGTCAAGATGCTATTATATATAGGTGAGCTAAATAAATTTTTTTTTTTTTTTTTTTAATTCTACTGTCCACGTCTTGTCAAACAATTATTTTCGCAGCATATCAAAGTTGAATTTAAGTATATGCCAACTTCGTTTCAGGTCACAGAACCATATTTCAAAATATTTACAAAACCCCTGAAGATATTCTGGAGGCTACCATAGCACCAAAAAATCTTACTGTCAGATGTGGTTTCTGTTACATACTTCTCAAGGCTTAAACTCTTTGGAGCTCACACTTTCAGATAATTCACCGAGCTGGTGGGAACAGTAATTACCCAAGCAAATTCGTACTGACGCTTTGCGCATTTATAAGATCGAATACAGGAGTTCTATTTTTATGGCTTTAAAAAGGACACTTGGACTATTATACCTAGTGCGAAGCCTGAGCACCAAAACGACATGAATTGATAATTAACAAAAGCTCTGTTATTTGATTTTCAATACATAATTATATTTCTTTGGCATTAAACAAATTAGTACTAAACATTGCAAAATCATTAAATATCGATGCACACACATACATATACACATCATAGCATGTATTGGTTCACGGTTATAACCTTAAAATCGTTTTCTTTGACATCCATACATTCATCGCTATAGAACTCCAAATGCACCATCTTCGTCGGCACCAACATCATAAAGCCGTTATTCGATAATTTATATCTGGTAATGTTGGTATTAAGCAGTTCGAGGTAAAGAAATAGGGCTGGCTTTGCAACGACAATATTCAGGCTGATAATATTGGCGTATTCATTGTTCACGCGGTAGCAGTAGGTGAAAAAAACGCTCAACTAAAAGAAAAGAAAATTAGAAAACGAACTGTAAACTTTGTTGAAATAAGAGTGATATTTGTGACCTACTGTTACTTTTGGGTTCTCTATGCCCACAGCATTTTTAATCGCGCTGGGAAAGTAATAATTGCGCGCAAGTACAGTTGATTCGGCGCTCAAAACGAATTCAACAAAAGAGTTGGTCTGCGTAAGGCCCCCTTTAAAAATGGTATCAATCGGTATTATCTTGTCGTACTGCACACCATTGGGTTTCTGTAGATTTAATGAGGAAAATAAATAAATGTCATTATTTGTGATAAGGCAAAGAGTATTACCAAAGCGACCGGCCAAATAGTTTGCTTTTTCGGAAACAAATCCGACCATTTGTAGATATTCATAGATACTTCAAGTCCCTTGTAGTCCACTTCCAGCTTATCACATATTAAAGACACATTCACTGCTTCCTGATCGGAGTCGTAGAGTGCTACAATGTGAATTGGTGCCATGAAGTATTTCGCCCAATAGTGAAGTATCTACACCCAAAGAAAACGAAATAGTGACATAAGTTGGGAAAGTAAGATGGCAGATGAACAGAAACCTTGAAATTCCCATAGAAATCAATGCTAGACCAAGAAGGCGCCACCCAAACGTCATTCAACTGCCAGTAGAGTGCGCCCATTGTGTGGTGTTCAGTGTCTCGCAAACTGCGATAGACTTCGGTCTCTATTTTTGTCACCATCGCCTGTGAAATTTGACTGAAATAGATCAAGGCTTCGATGTAATTATCGTCCTCGGGTAGGGGCAGCGGCAAGTGGCGTCTTATCAAAGCAATTATCACAGTCATATTGGAGGGATGATGCTGACGATGGTGGATTAAATTGAGCAGATTATCCTTGGGATTCATTGTCAACTCCCAGGAGGTAAGTTTCGGCAAACTCTGGAACCCATACTCGGAAGCAAAACGCGGACGACGATATATATTTGGATTCCAAGCATCCTCAAAGTTCGTGTAGAAGTGTACTGTGAATTAAGTATAGATAGTTTACATATTCTTTAATACTTCAACCTTCTTCGACTTACTATCACCGTAGTTCTCATCACCGGGATTGTTCGATATATAATTATCCTTTTCACTCGCCTTGGCATTCGATGGTGAGGAGATAAGTGGCTTCGGACGTGAGTTATCCTGTATGATCTTCAACTCATGAAAGACGGTGCCAACATACAACTCACGATATTCGGCCTCGAAACGCGCACGATCGCCGGCCGTGCCATACCAGTTATCTACGAGTGCCGCTTCGTTTTCATTATTTGTCGCAATTATCGCAATACTCGGATGATAAGCGATGCGTTTTGCATTTTGTATGACTTCAGTGCGCACTGATGAGAGAAATTCATCTGTAGCGGGATACATAGCACATGCGAACATCATATCCTGCCACACCAGTATGCCATATTTATCGGCTTTATCGTAGAACTCGTTGCTCTCATAGACGCCGCCACCCCAAATGCGTATCATATTCATATTCGTCTCCTTGACGGCCGTCAGAAGATATCGTACTATACAGTTTGGATAAGAATATAAGGAAAATGTATTAACAACCAGAAAGTTTTACTACTCGATGACTCACGTTGGGATTCGTTGTAGCTCAGCTCGGGCAGTATATGCATAGGTATGTAATTGGTGCCCTTCATGAAAATCTCCACGCCGTTCACTTTGAACAGAAAATAGTTGCCAACGCCTGTTTTTTTATTCAAATTAATATAATAATTTTTCTGAGTTTCATTTATTAACACTTTACCTTCTCTTGCCGCATCTTCAACTAACTCAATAGTTCGAAAGCCTACTTTTATGTTCTTCGTAGATGTAGTACGAGCCCGTATATCGAGACCTTTTCGATTGAGCCACGCTTTCATCGAAAAGTGTAGTGGATATAATTTTTGCTCACCATAACCATTGGGCCACCACAGGGTCACGTTTTCCTAAGCAAAAAGATAATAAATATTCATATATTGTATTATACAATTTTAGAGAGTATACAAAACGCACTTATTTAGAGTTAGAGATTTCATCCTACAATCGTAGAGCTTGAAAATCAAAATATCTACATGAAGTAATTTCCGACCAAATACTTCGAATTTTTTGCACAGAACAGAAGATAATATATTATTTATATTCATATTCCTAGTGAAATTTCAAAGTAAAATAACGCAAATTGAACATGGTACACAGTCCCGGTTAAGCTATTTGTAAACTCCGTACTCCTCCGTTACCAAAAATCGCAACCTCATATATGGTAAGTGTTGTTGTTGTTATTTCAAATATCTAGTTTCAGTATTTAGAGAATTGGCAAAGAGATTTTCTACCGATGATTGCCAGTCACATTCATGTCCAGTACGTTAAGGGCTGATTATATAGGACTATATTATACAAAGTTCATAATAACCCAACGATTACCCTCCTCCCGCCCAACCGACGCGAGCGGCGCAATCCGCATACGTGCGGAATTAGCCGAGGAAGAAAAGGCAAAAGAGTTTTTTTATGTATTGAGATGTAAAACTGCTCAGCTACAGGAACAAAAATTTTCAACAGCTAAGGTTTATAGTTACGATATAATAAATAGCTACAATTTCATTTATTAAGAGAAAACAATAAAGTCTTTTTAATTTTGAAATGTGAGTCAGATAAGTCAAATGTGCTGGAATGAGAATTAAAATCATGGCATATACGGCGGAATGGTTCGTTTGGTTCGAAATCTACAGGATTTTAACCGTAAAGGTCTAAACCGGGATATTAAATTTAATTTCAGACAAGAGAAAAGAACTGCAAACTGTTACATTCAATATTTTGACTAAGAATATTATGCCAAGCATTTTCCTACGACTAGAAAGTGTAGGCAGATTTATAAGTTTTAAACGACTAGTTCCATACACTAGACTTACTCTAGAATCCCATCGGAAATAACCTAAGGCAAAAAGTAAAAATTGCTTTTGAACAGACTCTAACTTGTCAGAATGGAGTTGTTAGCTAGGGTTTCATACAACAGAGCCATATTTCAATATAGGTCTAACCAAAGTTGCCTAAAGTGTTTTAGTAATATACGGATCTCTAAATCTTTAGACCAACGTTTAACAAAACTGAGGACAGCTTTTGCTTTCAAGACCATGTTATCAATATGAAGACTAAAATTAAGCTTAGGGTCAGAGAGAATATGAATATGACAATGAAACTGTCCAATAATCTAGCGAATGGTGCTCTAAAAGTGAGCCCAAACCGAAAAAATCAAAACTCGCTGAAGGCACTAAATTCCATCCCAACCGAGGCTTACAACAAGTGTTTAAAAAACTAGATTAAGATTTGATATGCTTGAATTGACTCAGGAGCCTATAGTAAAGGCGATAAAAAATGTTGTTGGTTGGTATTAGATGACCATGCAGTATTGCTCTGATTTGACTAGACCTTTGACAGCGGATATTCATGAGCAATTCTAAAAAGCCAATTGAAGGGTGAAATTTACATTTTTTCAAAAAATGCTCGTTGTTTCAAAGCAAATAACTGAAAAATAAAGATTCCAACACATCTTTCGTTTTCCATTATTCTCACTTACAATGGGTAGCGCTTGGTCGAAAGTAATAACGGGATTCTTCCATGATAACTTCTTCTTAGAATAAGTGCTGATTGTAATGGGATCCTCCATAAGCTCACTAAAGAACAAAATTCTTTATTACATAAAATACAAGAACAACACAAAACCTACAAACATACATGGCATAAAATTTTAATTCAGCAAAGAAATCCTGCCTGCCACCGCTGTCGATGAAAACGCGTATATGCATATTCCAGTGCGTCTCATTGCGACTAATTGCCACATCCACATCGCGTATCAAAGCCACCTCATAGAACTCCAACGCTACTGTCTTCCTTCAAAGACACACGAATATAATTACGAGCTTTAATTGAAAGCAAATGAATAAGACATAATTGACACCATTTACCAGATACCCATTGATGGTGCTGCCAGTCCCCAATCCCACGCGAAACTGGCCTGCATTTTGCGCAGCATATTCATATGGCATTCGCCGTGATAGCTGACGGGTGGACAGGCGGGCGGTACAGACATGTTGCGCGCCGCCAACGCATCGGCTCTGACACGCGCCGCATGTACCGGTGAGATCAGACGCACCACCAATTGATTCACGTCCTTCAATATGTGGCCCACTTCGTATGTGTAGCGTACGAACATGTTGTCGGTGTAACCCAATAAATGACCATTGAGATAAATTTCCGAAATCGTGTCAATGCCGTGAAATGTGAGATTGATAAGACGAGAGTCTTTAATTTCCTCTAGATGTAAAAAATTATAGACGTTTTTATGATTATAACGGATATAATGAAAAGCTTATGCTAGAGATACGTACCAGCAAAATTCAGAGAATACGTCCAGTTGTCATAAGAAATGTAGCGCAAGTCAATGTCATTGTAAGACTTAAGCACATCTTCACCCGCGATCGCGCTGTAGACACCAGATGGCAAATTTACCTTCGTATTAGCTGAAAATGAAGTTTAGAGATTAGAAAATAACAATAACAGTAAGTAATTTAATATTAAGTTAGGATTGTTTATATCACGCGATATATTCAACACAACTTTTTATACATATGTAGTAATTTTTAAGCTTTCTTTCGTCTATTATCTTTTGCGTATATTAGTTTTAATGTTTAACCGCCCTCAAAAAAAACATAATGTTCCGGAAAGAGACCATATGTAGCAAGGTTCTTTGATAAATATTATAGGAGAAGAAATAAATATATCTACCAACTAAAGTCTTTACTTGTGGAGACTCCATATTTCTCTACATATGGCTTTCCACTTTCGTTTGTTATAAACATATGCTCAATGACATTTTCTGCTTAAAGTACTCTTAACGTGATAAGAACTACCTAAAATAATAAAGATAACGGCTTACCATTATGTTTAAAAAATGATTTTGGGCAAGCGACCACCGCGCCGCGCTCGAATAAATACCAGCCGAGTGGCCTAATTTTCGACCAATTTTTTTAGCAATTGGGGCCGTATGTTAGAAATAAAGCGCCGAATATTCTCTTTCAAGACGTCAATCGTATCGATCTTATTAAGCGGCTTCACATAGCTCCACAAAAAATAGTCCAGCTGTGTAAATCACTTGGCTGTATGGCATGTAGCGCTGTCGCTGGAAGCAAAGGTCCTACACCACAACACACTCTAATCCAGGTACGAAAAAGTCATTAACCATGGCTCTATAGCCTTTCCTATTGACTGTACCATTATGGTCGGCTTCATTTTGCCAGAAATATGGACCAATGACTCCCTCTGCCCAAAGAGCACAGCCGAAAACTGCGCCTTTCGGCTGGAATTTCTTCGACCCAGCCGCGGCGGTCACTTCTCCGAGTTCATTATTAAAACATAACAAACTCTTATCTTTATAACAAAGCGAAATTCTCTGGCTATAAGATTAAATTGCTTGTATATGCGCTTTATTTCTTTTTGAAAAGCACATGTCTAAAAAAAACACTCTACTTACCAAAGGTGAAAATTGTGATTTTGCATGTTTTCGAAATTTTTTTGCTACCTATATTTAATTTTTATGACTTGGCCCATATTTTCATAATTGTGAATATTAAATGAGTCGACATGAATCGCTAACAAAGTATGCAACTTTTTGCTTGTAATTGGAACAATTAAAGGGAGAATTAGTACATAAAATTGAAATGTGTTGGACTTGAAAAAATTATAATCTGCGAGATGAAATTTCGTGTTCGTTTGTTTAACCGGAATTTCCACATACGAATTGTGTTTAAAGAGCATTAAAATTTCACTTATTCGTTGTAATTATATATTAAAAATTTCAATTACAAAGCTTCATTTGTTTGAAAAGAAAACAGATAGGCATATTCAGACTGATTGGTTTTTCCTCTAGTATTGATAAAATGGACCAAAACAGTTTTGTATTATAAATGGAAGGGAATGCTTGAAATCTTAGTCTAATTTAAGATATTTTTATTTTTTTATTGCAAGTGGTACAAGTTTTTCTCATACGTCCGATACAAAACCAACACCAAACAGTGTTTTCACAACCTACTTGTATATTATCGATTGTTATAGGTATCAGTAATTTGTTCCAAAAGTTTCATTTAAATATGTATCATATGAGCATCGATCGTGATCTGCCAAACAACGTGCATCACTCATGAATCATGACGATAGGGATACGATCAGAAGAGATCAACTAACGACATTTTAAATATGTGATTGTGGTGTCGAAACCAAAGTTCAATCGTATTTATGAAAAAACCCAAAAAAGCTAAGACCGAAAAACTCTGTGTCCAAGGAAGAACTTAGGATATACATATGTACACATCTGAAAGTCACTGGATTTGATGATGGACTTTGAAAATTGACATAAATATAATATTGATGGGATAAATATAATATAATAGAAATTTGAAGGAAACAAAATGAATACCATCTCGTACAGCTGATATTCCTAATTATAAAAGCTGCATAGAAATTGGAAAATATTTATTATGCTGTAACTAATAGCAGTTTATTTCGAATTTCCATTCTTCTCATAATCCATTAGCCGTATGGGGGCCGACTTAAAATATGTGGTCCCCACATTTGAGTCTTATATGTGACATGCAGTTATGTTGCCCTACCTTCAGGCTCTGCAAAAGCAGCTAATTTCAGAATTTCCACTTTCAACACGCCTAACGGTAATAAACCTAAAACTTTTACAAATGTATCTTATCTTCATAAAAATACCATAGGTATAAGTCTCTATAGAAGATACAATGTATTCAACGTCACTCCGAAATAAGACAATAAACGCGTTATTACTTGGTAATTATGTGATAAGCCGCGCCTTTCTCAACTTTATTCCTCAATTACGAAACACAAACTTACTGTAAGTGCCATTGGTTAGCGTCCACGACAGACCCTTCAAATCTTGCACATACACCGACTCCGCCACGACACTCCCACATATATTACAGAGCCAAACGCTGGCGCACAGCACAATTAGACCAGCACGAAAGTTGACCGCACTTTTCTGCTTCATAATTCGCATTTAATAATTGAAAATTGCTTAGCACTCATTTACATACTCATCAATCATGCAAACACACATATATGATTTCAGCAGGCGAACTCGAGTCTCTTTGCGTTCGCCAACTTGTTTATTATTATAATTTGAATTTTATTTATTTTTGTTTATGGTTTTTCTACATTTGTTATTTTTGCGTGCACTTGAACTTTCTTTTGGCGCTTCGGCTTTAAGTTTCTTATGTTTGGCAGCTTGTCAATTTCACTACACTATTATGTTATACGCCGATCAACACCTTGCCGGCAACTAACTTGTGCGATCAACGCGCCGGCGATTTTATTTGTTGAACTTCAATGTTCTCCTACGCTTTCGTGCTCTCTGTGATTTGGTGGCAAAGAGAACAGAAATTAATTACTAAGAGATAAGCCAATAAACATAAAGAAAAGTAGAATAGTAAAGAAACGGTTAATAATATTTGCCAATTTTGAACGAAGTTCTACTAATTTATATGGGACAACAATATAACAATAGACCACAGCTCAAAGTTCAAACCTCGCATTTTAATCTAGTCTTATATAACTGTGTTACTCAGCTTCATAAGGTTTACTCCTTGTTCTAAAACAGCTTATTAATAGTATTGGTTCTTCTCCTCCATGTGATCCTAATAAAAAATCAATTATACGACTATCCTACCCACCGAATGCAACCTTTGGGGCTGTTAAGCATACAACTTCCTTTAGAAATGTTTTGAGGCTACTGAAATTTTTACGGATAATATTGAAAATGAATTTCTCTGATACGAGGGCTGGCTTCTATATTTCGGGATTAGAGAACAACAACTAATATTAATCATCGAAAATTGTTTTTCAAAATATTCTCCTTTAAAATCTATACACTTTTGGAAGTGCTTCGTGCGCGAACAACCATAGCCATACAGTCGACTGCTGTTTACTTTCGGACACATACGCGTAAATCCCCATCTCATCACCTGTTACGATGTTATAGACGTGTTCCGAAGCACTGCTATCATATTTTTTTTACATTGCTCTCGACCACACGAGCCTTTTGTGATCGATTGATAAATTGTGTGAGATCCAACGTGAACAAATTTTTTTACGGTCCAATGTTCATGCAATATTAAATGTGTGCTAGCTCCACTAATGCTTATAGTTGTCTAAATCTCACGAGAGGTTACATGACGATCTTACAATATCAGTTTGTGCACAGCATCAATAGTTTCCGTAATAAAAACTGATTTTAGACGACTTTCACGAAATTCGTCTTGCAGTGACCTACGGCCTCGATTGAATTATATTTTATTATATATTGCATTTCAAACCTTAATTATCAATACCATTTCTGCAAGATAGAGTGCCTTTAGAAACATTCTTTACTCTTGCTTTAAGTCCGCTATGCTCGTTTTGATACTAAATTAAAACTTCCTCCAGAGCATTTCATACCATTCTTCACCAAGCTGAGTCAGTCGATACATAGTAATCATTACTCATTACTCATTAGTATAATGGAATCACAATAACGTTGTTCAATATTTAAGTACTTGACTTTTCTAGACAAATAATTATTGCTTGTTAGTCGCTATCTTAGACCCCTATAAAACAATTATTAACATAATATCTTAATCTAAAACAACGAATTATTCGCAGAAACACAACGAATCTACATAATAATCTAATAATTTATCATTACTTTTCGAAATATATTATATTAATATATCCGAGAACGGAAATTCCAAATTGCAAATAAGTTTTTTAAAAAAACAAAAAACCGCTTCAAAAGTGCGAGGAGGTATACACCAAAACCGGCATCTTTCTCCAAATTACTTTACAACTATGATTATGCATAATAATATGTTTTAATTACCTTTAGTTTATATGTGAATACTTATCACTTATTATAAATATGTCCATGTTTATGCTCGGTTTTTACCAACTTTATTTTAATCACATAGTCTCATACAAACATTGTTGATAAACACTATGGGCATTCAATAAATTATTATCTCTCTTAATGTTACTCTCCGTCACCAGCTGAGACTCTTTAAAACACACTCAATTGAAATCTATCAAAAGGTCAATTATATATATTCTCTTACATCCCCAAATGGACACAAAGCGGTAATAAAAGTACACAATCTGATTTATAAATGTGAAACTTTTTCATAAGCTTACTTACTATAGTATGTTTTAGATCGCAATCCGAAATAAGTTATTAAGTTAGTTTGGAAACATGATAATAACAATTATGTGGTAAATACTTCCATTTAAAAGGTCTGAATTCAGGCAATATCTAAGCCTGATTGGATCTCACTATAAAAAAATCTGTAAAAGAAAATTCTTAGTATACTATTTTTTTTTTTTACCTTGAACAGGGAACATTAAATTTGCCACGAAGTTTGTAACTCCCAGACGGAAACGTCGGAGATCCAAAAATATATACATATATATTTAAATGATCAGCATGACGAGCGGAGTCATTTAGCCATGTCCTTCTGTTCGTCTGTCTGTATATACACGAACTAATCTCTCAGTTTTTGAAATATCGATCTAAAATTTTTCACACGTTCTTTTCTCCCAAAGAAGCTGCTCTTTTGTTGGAATCGCCAATATTAAACTACTATAGTATATAACTGCCATACAAACCGAACGATCAGAATCATGTGCTTATATAGAAAGCGTTTTTGTACTTGAAGAGATATCTTCACGAATTTCGCATGGTTTAATATCCACGGCAACGGTACAATCGCCGAAGAAATTGTTCAGATCGGACTACTGTGGTAATTATAACTGCTGAATTTATAGTAAGAGTAAGAGTATGTATTTGGTATATAAATATATATGTATATATACATACATATATACATAAAATTTTTGGCAACTTTTTGTCGTATTACTGAATTTATTATGTTTTCTTTTCTTCATTTTCTATTGATTTTATATGGACACTTAAGGTGTTGCGCATCCGGCCGCTCTGAATATTGATACATGCTAGCACGTATCGTACATACCTACATACATATAATATATCAACAACCAACATTAATTTTAATTTTAAATAGAAATTTACTAAAGTCCGCTAGCTCTCAAACTGTAAACATTTTATTTGCGATACTGTTATGTTAAGTTATAAAAGTTTGTTATTATCAGTAATTTATAGTAAGCAACAAGAGTTGGCTCTCAAAATATATATTAAGTTAGCGTGTAGTAGTTCTATTGGAAAAGTTTTTACAATTTTAATTGTCTATCCCGTATTTCAACGTGAGAAGTATTCGCATTAATGATTATTTTATTTTATTAATTTCTATTATTTATTTCGTATCTATTATGTTTGGCATTTGAAAGTGATTTCTCGTAGCGCTCAGGTGGGATCAAGCTAAGCAGATAGTGGATATGAGAGCAAATCAATGATGAGAGCATATTTGAAATGACAACAAATTGAGTCAAATCGGATATTTGAAATTGTCTTTCGAGTGGAGATTACTAATAAGAAACTACTGTTTCATACATAAAGACCTTCGGATACTTGAAAATATTATTAATTTTAATTTCATTTTATAAGGTTGGAAGGTATCTCCCTTCCGCTTTTTTGTCTTTTGAATTTCGCGGCTATGTACAAAGCGCTACAGAGCTCGTATCTGGCAACACTATACATAATTTGAAAGGTCTTGACATAACCTACAAAACAACGCTATGCATGATTAGTTTGGATATTGCGTTCAACAGTTATAGACGTGTAAATATGGAGTTCACTAACGCCGAAATTTGCGCTATTTTAAAGTTTTCCTTCGTTAAAGGCAAATCCGCTAGAGAAACGTTCCGTGAGATTAATGGTGTTTTGGGGGATGGTACTCTATCACTTCGAACCGCGGAGGAATGGTTTCGACGATTCAGAGCCGGTGAAAACGACACCATGGATAAGCCAGCCGGCGGAAGACCTGTGACGACAAATACCGATCAAATCATGGAATACATCGAGTTAGACCGGCATATGGCATCTCGTGACATCGCCCAGGAGATGGGAGTTAGTCACCAAACCATTTTGAACCATCTGCAGAAGGCTGGATACAAAAAAAAGTTTGATGTTTTGGTGCCGCATAATTTGACGCAAAAAAACCTTCTGGACCGAATCAACGCCTGCGATATGCTGCTGAAACGGAACGAACTCGTCCCATTCTTGAAGCGGATGGTGACTGGCGACGAAAAATGGATCACATACGACAATATCAAGCGAAAACGGTCGTGGTCGAAGGCCGGTCGTCCTAAACAGTGGCCAAGCCGGGATTGACGGCCAGGAAGGTTTTGCTGTGTGTTTGGTGGGATTGGAAGGGAATCATCCACTATGAGCTGCTCCCATATGGCCAGACGCTTAATTCTACCATCTACTGCGAACAACTGGACCGCTTGAAGCAGGCGATCGACCAGACCACACACTTCGTTGATGACTCGTCAGAAGCTACGGGAGCTCGGATGGGAGGTTTTATCGCATCCACCATATAGCCCGGACGTAGCGCCAAGTGATTACCACCTGTTCCTGTCCATGGCGAATGCCCTTGGTGGTGTGAAGTTGAACTCAAAAGAGGCTTGTGAAAAGTGGCTGTCCGAATTCTTCGCAAATAAGGAGGGGGGCTTCTACGAGGAAGGTATTATGAAGTTGCCGTCTAGATCATCGAACAAAACGGCGCATATTTTAACTAAATCCGATCACTGTAACACTTGTTATAAAGCATTGAATGAAGAGCAAAAAAGTGGAAGGGAGATACCTTCCAACCTTATATTTTGTTTTATTTTATTTTGATTTGTTTTATTTTATTTTATTTTAGTTTGTTTAATTTTATTTTGTTTTATTTTCATTAATTTTATTAAAATCTTACAACCACCATTTACCGATAAGCTGTCTTTTGAGGTAGCCGGGAGAAATATTTCATGGCATATCATATTATATTGCAGGCAGATACTTATATGGATATACATAAGTATTTCACTTTATGTACTGTGATATTGGGAAACACCGAGAGATATGTGGTTATTTCAATTTTTTTTCGACGAAGTTGGCTCAATTACGATGGCAGAACTTCGTTTTATGATAAGACAAAACTTTTTACCAAAATTCATTCGAATCGGTCGGGGTCGCGTCCAACTATTTGTCGATTTGACATGGAATGATCTAGTTAGTACAATTCAAATAATTTCCTGCAAAAAACTCAGATTCGTTCGTACGATGTTTGTTCTTCTCAAGTCATCTAATTTTAGAAAGGTGATTCATTTCAATAAAATATCGACAAAATAGTAAACTGGCAAGCGCTTTAATGAGGTATTCTCATACTCTCTGGTATATGCAAGTAATCGATGATGGTATAATATTTATAAGCTAAAATTTCCAAAAACCATTATGTAATCTTAGAACTAACAAAGAGTCTTAATTTATAATTATTGTAGAAATTAATCATGTTTGTATTTTTTGACACATTTAGTCGCTCATTAAAGAAATCGGGTAATATACCTCAAAGTATTTCAGTAAATAACAATAAACTTGTCCATAATTGTAGCAACGTGTAAATAAGTACTGCTCGCATATGGCTAATCGATCAAAGTAAAACATTTTCCGGTGCAATGACACTTGCGCTACATGATGTAGGTCCAACAGCGCCATTCTCAGCGGAGCTTCCACTTCTAGCGCAACTCATAAGTATATGGGCGAATTCCAAAAAATAGCGGTACCTTCACGATAAGTTAAATGCTTAATGGTGTTACATACTGTGTCGTAATTTGGAATGTATTAAGTAAGGTTGCATACACAAGTAGGAAAGTAGGCGAACGAATGCATGTGCCAATACTGGCACACACACTTATTGCCACATATAGGAAAAGAACTTTTTTCGACCAACTTATGGCACACTTAAAAGCCAGTAGGCGTATTCCTCCATGGGTATATATGTAGATTTTAATGTATGTCAGCAGTGGCAAGGAAATTCTGATATAAAAGTAAAAGAAGAGACCTCAAAGACAACAGTTGACATTGATCGCTGACTTGACGTAAACCGACGAGTAATTCTACCGAAAAAAATGCTTGCCTACACAAAATTTTTGTTGTGCGTTCTGTTAGCTAGTGTGGCCACCGCAGCGGATACCTCAAAGCCAACAACCACCAAGCCCATTTCCATTACTACAGAAATCATTGAATCATCAAAGGATCCTCAGGCGAATGTGGCGACGGCAACGCCTCTGACCGATGGCCCCACTGAGCGACGTGCAGCTCAATTCGACATGATCGCACAACGTATGGATATCAGCAGCACGCTGGAAGATAACAATGAGTATCATTACCTCTGCACAGTGGGCAAAAAGCGTACCCGTAAGTAGAAGAGATATTTAAAAGGTAGTACAAATTTGGAATAAACTAAATTTCTTTGCAGAGAACGTCATGTGCTTCGCTGAGGACAACACGCGCTGGGACACACCCCACGATGTGAACTTGAAACTGCGTTGCCCCAAATCGGGCACAGGTTATGAGATCGCGTTCTCGCAAGTGGATGTCTGGATGACCTCTAACGATCTAGACTGCCGTGTAACCGAGGGTGGTGTGGGTTATGGATCTATCGGTCTGCAGCTGACCGCCTATAAAACAAATACGTTCAGATACATTGCTGATGTGTTTTCGGTTTGACAATAGGAGCATGTTTGTTGTTAATGTGATGAGGTATAAAATAAATGGTTTAAATTGAGCAATGAATGTTTGACTCTTATTCGAAATTGAGGAAATCAGCTTAAACCATAGAAAAGAAGTGCTCGAAAAGAGGCTAGAAGTAAAATCTTAACTAGAGTCGGACAAGATTATAATTAAATTATTATATTTGTATCCGAAAACGGTATAAAGCTAGCGGGTTCTAAAGACCCACAATGATGTTATGAAAAGCATCCGATGCGCGAAGTAAGTAATACCGCTTAGATTTTCGTACAAAATCACTCATTTAGCTAAGTGAAAGCAGAGTGTAAGAGTGAGCGATGCGACCTACGTTCTGGATATTGTAATAGAATAAACTGCCTCCTATCCAGAATTGACCTTGACATACTAAACATATATCTGGCATGCAAAGAGTTCCGAATGATACTAACCATCTCTTTGCATACCCCGTCAAACCTACTCAACGAGCACCCTTTTCCCTTCCAACCCCGTCGAATTAGCTCGTTTTCCGGTCCTGTATAAGTGACTTAGTTTAATTATTTCGGCATTCCCTTTTCATTGTTTGAAAACGAATTCCCTATTCAAAACAGATGTAGTGCTTAGGGGTTATGTGCAACAATCTCTCCTGGTAGACACAAAATTTGAAAATCGAAATGGAGCTGATTACCATTTAAACAAAACCCAGACGTTATTAGTCTCTAAAGAGAATGTTCTTGGTTGCATGCTTCTGTTCTCACTTGCTTTCAATTTTGAATCAAAAGCTATAAAGCTCGAAGGTTCAAAGTTTCATCCCCACCACAGAAGTCGGGCGACTCTTTACAAGCTGTCAAACCAAATAAACTGAAAGTGCAGTAATAAGTTGTCAAGAGTAGTCTTTGCGGTTAAGAGAAAAAGCTCCAAAAGGGATTGGAAGTTGATTACCATTTTAGCAACGTCTGGCTTATATTAGTCCTTTCGATCCTTGCCATATGTGAGTGAAAGTAAGAGAGCTAAGAAAATATGGTAAATATTGCAAAATTATTCGCTTCGCAGATTTAACGGCAGTTTTAACATCGCTATCAAAGAAAGCGAGTTTAAGCGAACTAAAATGGTACACGCTTCTTCAAAAAAAAAAAACTTTAATGCAAATTAATGTTTTTCATTTATTCAAAAACTTCATATAAGCCTGTTCACGCCTGCTTCAATTAAAAAGTGGGTCAACAAACCCTCTCAGTTTTCCACACTCTCATACGGTAAATATGAGTACTTAATTTTAACCTTATATTAGTCATTCGATCACTTCGATTGCGTTATGGCAATTAAGTTGATATAACATATAAACAATAACAATTATGGGCTCCTAAATACAAACAAATGTACGAATTAATACACATACTACTCATAGGCAACTCGGGCCCATACTTTTGCACTCCGTAATCAGTCTATTAGTTGATATCGGGACTGCGCGCCGACAAGTCGATTGATTTCTAATTAGAAATTGTTCAAACGTTTTGTGTGATAAAAATAAACAACTTTTTTGATATTTTCTTTTGTATTTTTGTAGTTTTTGCACGATTTGTTGCCGAAATGTGTTATCTATAGAAAAAATAATGAAAATGTTTCCTGCTTTTAATGTAATTTTATATTCAATAACCGCTTTATTTAGTCTAACAAATATTTTTCTGGCGTGTGGCGACAAAGTCAGTGTGGTGGAGTTGACCACTTTGTGGACGCTGAGTAATCAAAATGGCTGTAAGTGCAGTAAGAATAATTTTAAAAGAAATTAAAAAAGAAATGAAAAAAAACGTGCACGTGCCTAATAAATATATCATATATAGCAAGATTTTTTGAATCATAAAATACTTCTTCAAAATAAAAGAGAACTATATAGTAATGTGGTTATTGTAAGCGCTAAGTCTTTATAACCACAAAGAGCTCATATAAATCTCGCATTGTAACTTATCAATTCAATTCGATTCTTGTGTGATGATTTCATATGTAAAATCACTTTCATTTCACACCCTTTGTGATAACAATTTTGTTTACTTTTTCGACAAACTTTTGTGATATGTGTAATTAATGTATGGTTAAGCGCATATATATATACATATATATATATATACCTGATTATAGATACATATATATATGCATACAAAAATTTGAAAAAAACAAGAAAGTTTCCAACCTTTCTATAAAACTATAGTGATCCAGTGCAGCAATCTAAAAATATCTAACAACTTAAAGAACTCAATATAATTTTTGTGCGGTGTTGAATCAAAATAGTATATAGTTAAGTATAATGTACAATGGTGATTCTTCAAAAAACGGTCACAAATTTCAGTAAATATAAGTGGTATAACGGATAACACGAAAAACCAATTAATGACTTAGGGGGTTATAACCACTTGCAAGTCAGAAAAAATACGTTTTTTGTGATCTATGTTGTGGAGAACACAGAACTTATTGAATTTTAATAATCGGTGATTAATTTTGAAAAATTTTGGAAATCCTTGATCCGATTTCCGCTGCCAAGCTACAGTAACACCTTTGAAAAAAAGTGTCTGACGCTGAGGATGAGTTTTATGCTTAAAATTATCTCAAATTCAAAGCCCCAAAAAAAGTATTATTACTCTAGAAGAATCTAAGTAATGATCAAAGAACCAGTCAAAACAATAAGAAATGTGAAATATATGTTATTGAAGAAGGTCGTGTAAAAATTTCAAGTCGATCGGTCCAACCGTTTCGAAAAAAATTTTCATACAGACACTGAGAACAATATTTCGAAAATAAAGTGTTTAAAATTGTAAAAGTCGACAGAGAATAAAATTTCTTAATAGACGCACATATCTTCGAAACTATTTGCCGGATCAACTTCAAATTTCGGAGAATATTTTCAAATATATTATATTTACATTCGTTATATATGCAAAGAAATAGAAGTTTTTAAATTCCCAAGTGGATATAAATATACATTCGATATATATGCAAACAAAATTGAATTTTTGAAATTTCCAAGAAATTTATATCAAACGGCAACCCGCTTTACAATATAATATAACTTAACATACTTTTAAAATTTTCTAATATTCGCTTAAGCTTATTCACTAAATTGGCTATCGAAACAGCAATAAATTCTATTAAAAAATTAACTTAAATAAATATAATATATAAAAATGAAGTACTATAAGCTCTTACAAGTATTAAGTATTAACTAATTGCTTTAAAAGTAATCATTATTACAGTGACAATTAAAATATCCTATATATAACTAGCATTGAATTTAAGTGTATATCTACGTCATATCCTTTCGTTTATGATAAATTATCGGCATTCACAGTGTATTTTATACACAAACATAGCGTATATATGTTAAGCTGCATGATCAGTACTCAGTTACATTAATCAATATCGTCAGAGTGCACAAAGTGGCTGGAACATTCAAGTGTTATGCTGATAAGATAAGTCGATTTTTTTACTATGCCAACGCTGTGCTTAATTGAGTGGCTTTCGAAGACTAATAACCGTGCCATGGGAGTTTAGATAAGGCAAACAAGCTGCAGAACATTTTTTTATGATTTATTGGGAAATCACGGCAAATAAAGTTTTACTAACTAAAAGCAGGCGAAAGTAGCTAACATCGTTATTTGATATTTTGGGTAATTCTCTTTCAGAAGTTTTGGTTTAAGACGGCTACAAATTTCTAAAACCTTTTATCAGAGATACATCGTGATTTGAAAATTTTATGGCAACAGATTTTGGAATAGATGCTGCGAGCTTTTTAAACGGCTTTAATAAAATATAAACAACTTAAATGTTGAATTATAATAAAACTGGTAATTAAAAATGAATTCAAATTCAAATTATCATTTCTATATTATAAAATCGATCACGAAATGTACCATCATAAAACGTATTTATTTTTCATAAAGATATATTCCGATGTATATAGCCTACACAATACAATATCTTTTTTTGTTTATATAAAAAGTTACCATTATTAGCCTTGGCTGAAAGTGAAGGTAGTACTTCTTCAAGAGGCAAATCAACTGAAAGTGATTAATCACTTATATACGTATAATATTTCAAAAAATTGTGAATTAAGATAATTATAATTAGAAAAGTCTAAAAAATAAGTGGGTTATGGTAATAACGCAATAATTACCAACTAATACACTGCTAGCACGAGAGTCAGGTCGAAATCATCGGATCGAAGAGATTAATATCCAGCAAACAATTTTAACTCGGCAGTATTGCGCATATCACGCTCGGTGTTTCCTCGGTGTTGAAAAACGATTGTGGATGTCAGAAATGCTTGTTTTTGCAAAGGATTGTGATTGGTGATGAATAACAGATCCATTATGTAAAACCTTACCAACCAAGCCAAATCAACGGCAAATCTGAGAATACCATATATTACGATTAAAGGAATTATGTTGGACCCTAAAGACCCCAACTTCGTTGTCTTTAAAAATCCTAATAGACAAAATGTTTTTCATGGCACCAAAGTGCATTCATATTCATAAAGAATTTCGTGCAGGGCACATTAGCCTTAGCGGCACGACCCTGCGCGATATTATTTCGTCGCTGTTTCGACAGCAACTGAATGATAGAACGTAAGTGTACGTGTGAAATCAGCTTACACAATTGTGCCAAGAACGCCCACCACTGATTTACACTTTTAATAACAGTTATCTTGTGATTGGCAAGCATTTCATTAATTAAGTATTTAATCACAAATACAACCAAAAAGAAAATAATTACTAAATGTCATATCAGGAATTTCCTGTTTACACTATTACCAAAAATCTAACTCAAATATCACAAACGAGACATAATAAATCAAAATTTGAGTTTATAACACTTACCTAATGAAGTTGAAAAAATAATAGGGCTTCTTAAATGGAACTTCTTAAGACAGGCCATCCTACGAAAAGCTAACCCCGATTCTAAAAATAATAATGTTGAAACTGAGTTTTTTTTTTGTGGAAGTATAGATTTTGTGTTCGATTTGAAAAAAAAAACAAATGTATTTGGAAATTATATACACACAATTTCAGAAAATTTTCTGGTTTTCCGTTTTGTCAAATCTTTCCATTTGAAACACGAGCTGTATATAGCATCATCTGCCCGAACACATGATGAAAGAAACGCCACCACTTTGTTGTTTTTTCAGGTAACAACTACTAATTCAACCACTTCAAAGTCAGTTACTTATTCTTCGTTAGTTTAAGTTTAAAACCCCATTTATGTGTCCTATTGGGAAGATATTGTTTCATAAAATGTGCAACTTTCGTAGCACACATTTTTTCATCAATGGTCAATCTTTGATCTGTGAGAATAGTACCAAATCTTTCATATAAACAACTAATAATAGGCCTTATGTTGAGCCAAGTAACATACCATATTCATGTTTGGCGTAAATGTTTTTCATAATTATTAAAATGGAGGCATCTGCGAATGGTCTCATATCAGTTATGTCATTAGTATTTTTTATTGATTCCAAACCAACTTTATCTGAACAATGGAGGCGCCCGTTACCATATTTTATCACTGACATGTATGTATAGCAAAATAGATATGAACTTCCTCACCTCTATTTCATTGACTTTTAAGGGCTTATCAATATTACTTTGCAATACATAGAGATTAGCCTCCACCACCATTTTTTTATCAGTTCCGGAGCTATAAAATATGGAAAAACAATTAAGAAGTGTCAGTACCTGAATGATCTTTTAATTTCGGTGGTTACGTAATATTGGATCGGAAAGATGTTTAATCTGCATTCGAACTAAATTTTTTCTTGTTCCATATAAGCCCCTTCTTACCTGTACGATGACTAGCTTGGCTTGTTGCTGTTGTTGTAGCGGCAGAATTCTGCTGAGTTGACAGTCCTTGGCCGAATAAAATCCGGGTCCGTTCCGGTTACGTAGACCCGACTGTCATGGGAACGGACAGGCTCGAGGGATATGGCACTTCAAGCTCTTCATCATGACCGTCTTCCTCAAGACTGCACTTTTTATTTGTTTCCCATCAACATCATTATCTTCGTCGTTATTTTAATGAAATTACGAAAAGTCTTCGAAATATTTTCTAGATCTTCTTCTGACCGTTCTCCGATCGTACAGTGACATCATCTATAATAGTACAACAATTTAGACCCAAATCATAAAGTTTGTAATGTGCAGTAAATGCCTAAAATAAAAGCATTTCGGAAAAGGTTATCACTTATTGTTTTTCGTTAGTCAAATAAAGAAAACATTACAGAACAGACTTCAAACCAAACAAATTCGAAAAAGATTTCGGGAAGCCAGTTTTATAAAGTGTTGACATCTGTTTCAAAGAACATATGTATATCATTATTTAAAGAAATAGCAGTAATTATGAAATAACTCCAAAACTTATTCCTCTCCTCACACGTAGCAATAACAAAGTCGGGACTCAAAATTCCCATTAGCGTATACTCGGCGCTGAGCTCAACATACGGCGATGTATTGCAATCGAAAAACGATGTAAATCTGCGTTGGATCGCATACGATAATTGGACCTTTACGAAGCATTTCAACGGTAATATAAACCTTACACTTCATATGCAATTATGTAACATAATAACCGATTAACTCCAGTCGAAGAAGAAGACTTTGCAAATGTAAACGTGATCAATTTGACGATCTACGGCATTGACACGGTGTCGACCATCCGACTAAATGGCATAAGTATTGGCAAAACGGACAATATGTTCATACGTTACAATTTCGATGTGCTGCATCTTTTAAAACAAGAAAATGTTCTGGAAATAGAAATCAAATCACCTATCTGGGCAGCCAAAACGCTGGCGAACGATCGAGGATCATGGTTTAAAGCGCCACCAGAATGCCCACCGGAGTCTTTTAGAGGCGAATGCTATCGAAATCTATTGCGTAAGATGCAGATGAGTTTCGGCAGTGATGTAGGACCAGCGATACCCTCGATGGGTATATGGTAGTTTACAGACATTGGATTTAATCTTTGAAGTCAATAAAATATTTTTTTAGGAAAACTATAACTTTGGAGTATTATGAAGTCGCTATTTTGCGTGTAGTCGATATTGCTGTGGAGCCTAATACTACGCACTGGATCATGGATGTACATGCTTTCTTCGATACGGGCCTATCGTATGACTTCTTTGGAAATATTACGTTATTTGCACCGTAAGTCAAAAACTGGATGGTCCCAAAGCAATATAGAACTAATAATATAATAGTAATATTTTAAATATGATTTTTTTTTCGACCAAATGAGTCACTATTGACCACTTACCTGATTAGATTTATTTTCGAATCTTTAAAGTACTATAAACCTTTATTGACATTTCAGTGACCTATTAGAAGAAAATCCATATGTGGTGGGTCTAAAAACCATAAGCTATCAATCGCCTAGAGTCACATTCCAAGTACCGGTGCCCAAGGTAAGCTTCGTAAGACCTTAACATTGAATTAAAGTTAAATAATCTCAAAAGTTGTGCAACTGAACATATAGAATTCCGTCAAATTATGGTGGCCTAATGGCTATGGCGAACCAAATCTCTATCCAATATTCGTGTCCGCGATATGTTGGGCTAACAGGGACAAACCACTATTGCGGGCAAAAACTGTTTCAGAAAAATTAGTTTATATTGGTTTTAGAACTGTGGAATTAGTTGAGGATCTCGAAGAAGGTGGGTAGCTTTTCAGTCAGAATAAAATGTATACATAAAAAAATAAATATTTTTCAGGACAGAGTCGCACATTCTACTTTAAGGTCAATGATGTGCCAATTTTCATAAAGGGTGCGGCATATCTACCCGCTGACATATTACCCGAGAAGTATGATGACGTTGAAAATGGTGAGTCTAAAACTCATTACAACAACAGAAGTTTGAGATTATGAAGATTGAATGTAAAAATATACTTACATATGATGCGTGGTTTTGTGTGACGTCAGTTTAGCGAGGCACTAAAGACAACTTTTTGCCGGCAAAGCGCCATAACATTTATCTTTCATCAAACACATTTTAAAAATAATTTAATAATTCATTAATATAAATATTTTCTCAACAAAGTGGAACATATTTTGCGATCGGCCCAAATGGCGAACATGAATATGATACGTGTCTGGGGCGGAGGTCTTTACGAGTCTAAAACCTTTTACGACACCGCAGACAAGTTGGGTTTGATGGTTTGGCAGGATATGGCATTCACCAATGCCACTTATCCAGTTACTAACCTCTTCCTCGAGTAAGTAAAAAATATGATTCCATACTAAATTAAGGAGCTCTAATAAAACCTATTTTAAATAGTTCAATTCGTGTTGAAACATCGCAGAATGCCAAATTTCTCGCGTCACATCCATCGTTAGTATTAATCGTGACAAATAATGAGATCGAATTATATCTTGTGTCGCATAAAAATGATTTTGGCTCGGAGCAAGAATATGAACGCGTAGAAAATGAGTACAAACAACTATTCATAGGCACGGTTAAACCGGAGCTGAATGTCATATCACGCAATTCCTTCGATCCGCGTCCTGGACCAATGATCTCAACACCATCGAAGGGTATTGAGGAGAACAAAAAAGATTTGCCACTCGATTTGCAGAGCATCAACTATGGCGATGGTAAGTTGTATATTTGTAGAAAGTAGATAAGTTAATAATATTTTAATCCTTTCGATCTTTTTTTAAACAGTCCATTTTCGGAAGAAAGATATCGATGGTTGCGATCCAGATATATACCCACGCGCACGCTTTGTTAGTGAATATGGTTTTCAGAGTATGCCAGCAATAACATCGTGGAATATGACGATGACGACAAATGACATCATAGTCGATTTGATCAAACATCGGCAACACAGCCCGCATGGTATGACGCCGATGTTGCACTTAATCGAACGCCATATACCTTTCCGTGCTTCCAGCTGGGAACAGGACATCGACGCCTTAGTTTACTTCAGTCAAATTACACAAGCCATAGCCGTTAAAACAGGCACAGATCTCTTTCGCAGTCAGAGCGTAGATCATCGTACGATGGGCGCCATTTATTGGCATTTGAATGATGTGTGGGTGGCCCCCACCTGGTCCAGCATTGACTACTACGGCAATTATAAGGTACATAAGCTTTGGTTTAGAATATATGACAACTGCAGGTAATTCATACCAATTTAATTAAATAATTCTAAAGATAACAGAAATTTAGAGTTGCCAGACTTTTATAATGAATACTCACTAATAAAGATAATCTTTTATTACAGCTTCTTTACTATTGGTCCAAGGAATTCTTCGCACCAATTTATATAGTCGCTTTGAATGACGCCAGCAATAAAAGCATCAACATAACTTTGATCAGAGAAGAGTACACGGGATACTCGGATGCGCGCAAATATGTGGAATCGATAAATCTCTACTATTGGGATAAATTGATTAGCAGAAAATCTTTTACCCGCAATGAAGTTTTGGTGAGTTCAAATGTGTATGGAATCTCTTTAAATTAACTCATAATTTTGACATCCCTCATGTTTTAGGAGACAAATTCGGCGCAGACGCGCTCTGTGCCACTGGATGAAATCATATCTTCTCCATTTACAGTTAATAATTGCTTTTTAGAATTTACGCTGAGCAATACTAACGACGAAGTAGTGGCGTCAACATTTTTCTTACCCACGAATTTAAAGAATATTGAGGGCATAACTGATCCGGAAATAACGGTAAGTACTTCTACGTATATCTTATATATTTTAAGCAAATAAGACGCAGTTTTTAGCTAAGTTCATCCGAAGCATGTTTTTAACGCACCTTTTGATTTTGATAAAAAGTTTCAATAAACAAAATATACTCATAGATATCTATAATTGTTATTCAGATTCTTGGGAACGTTATGCAGATTTTTTTTTTAACAATACTTGTATATGAAACTTTTGTGAGAACAACTGAAATTTGACGCAGAAGCTTCTAAGTATTTCTAGCCTCAAAATGTCATACTCCTTCATTAAACTAAATTTGGTTCAGATCACAAAAGTTTTGCCAGAATTGCACTATGTATGAAAGTTAAGGATTTGCTGATTTTAGATGACGACTCTTGGGTGGGTTTCGAATATTTAAACCATAGCTGGAGCAATCAGAGCCTTAGAAAAAAAACTACATAAAAAGTGCTGAAGTGATGATCTGATATTCAAGTGCCAAACTAAGACACCCATTTTATATTATATTTTTATTTTTATGGTTTGAGTTGTTAGCCTTCATATCCTAGGTGTGTAGGTAGGAGTGCAGCTATCATGGGCTCAATTAGGGCTCAATGCACCATTTTGATTTACTATTGTAGGACCTTTATAATCTTACTATCCATTTTAAATCCGCCGGTATAGATGGAGGTTGTATCATCCTCCCCTTCAATCACAATATTAAATCTAACCTTGTGAGGATATAACCTGATTTGTTTAGCTGATTCAAGATGGCGCTATGTCCATAATCCTTTCTGTTCCAACCTCCTAATTCCTTTATTCTTATAGTAGATCTTGCTGCTACTTTCCGAGTAAAGACGTCTATGGGCAGTTGATGCAGGAGCATATTAAGCGCATCAGTCAGACATGACTTAGTAGCATGACTAGCAACCCTTACACAGGCTGCTTCATGTCTTTATATCGCACATTTTTCTGAACCTCTTGAGGACCTCTAACTCAACAGACTATTAATTTCGATTAGATCATAATAGTTCTACCTTTTATCCCTTATTCCAAAGCACATTGTAATTACTAAGTATATGATTAACACTCATTTTTATTTATGTCACATATTTTTCAAATATTTTAGGCCGAGATATCCTGGCGATATTGCAATGAGGACGCGCTCTCGTTAAAACGTCAAGTCGCTTATAGTCTCTTAGTGCGTGTCAAATCGCCAGCGCTGTACGTGTTCATACAAATCGTACATCCACAAATCAAAAGATATAAACTCTCACATAACGGCTTCATACAAGCAGATCCCGTTAAGATCGTACATTTGGAATACGAACATTCATCGGAATGTATGACCATCTCGAATGAGAATATACAGGTACAAACCATGAATCAATACCTGTTGGCAGACGCGGAGAAAAAGACGCAAAATGCAACAAGCTCACGAAGACGGCGACGCCGAAAATTGGACTTGTGATAAGACGAAATTTCGATAACTGCTTTAAGCAGTTATATAAGTGGCGCTATATATACATCTACATACAGTATATAAATGTATGTGCGTCTCTTTATACGTATTTGTGATATATAATATTTAACAAGTGTTTGAGATTTATTCACAGGTGTGTCTTAATATGACAAAACCTGTTTATGTGAAACGTTATAATTGTTATTGTAAATTATAAAAATTGTAAATATAATCTGTTAAGTTATAAAGTACAGTGTCTACAATTTTTCGAAGCTTTCAATTCAATAGTTTCAAGTGTTTTCTTACAATCATTATCATTTTTGGCGCCTGTGGTCAACAAAGTGTGCACGTGACATCTGTTCTAAGTCTGAGTTACTTGAATTTTATCTGCAAATCCGAAAAAAGAATTCCGAAAGCACATTCAACAGCTGTTTTAGCCCGACCATTTCCTTCAAATTTGTTCGCATATAAATGGTGGATTCGCAAGTCGTTTACTCATAGTCATAATTTGACTATTTAACGGTGCGGTAACGGTAGTTTTATACAAGTGCTCAAAACAAATATACAAGTAATCATAATAAATTAGTATCAATATGATATTAAAGAGGATAGCTGTCCTCTTTCTTCTTAGTTTTGCTAGTTTGCTCCTTGGCACGCGCTCGGAGCTGGTTGAAGTTATAGATCTCAATACCAACTGGAGCATTACAAATCAAAATCTGAGTGAGTTCTTAAATTCGACAAACATTTCAAAGTAATCTTTAGCATGGTTTTGCTTACAGCCATAAGCAAAAGTAATATTCATCTGCCATCCGGCGTCTATAGCGTCCTATATGACGAGGATATTTTGAACTCCTACAATGACATCAATATGCGTTGGATAGCGCTTGATAACTGGACTTATACGCGAACATTTAAAGGTAAATTTTTGGTGAACATTGTGAGTACCACTTCACCAAATATCTGAAAGTAAGATATCTAATGTCTAAATGCATTGCTATACCCACTTTTGTTTTACTCAATACGCCCTACATTCGCACAGTTTCTCGCAACCACTTACCCAAGCACTTCTGCAATTTAACTTTCCACGGCATCGACACTGTCGCCGAGATACGCCTCAACAACCATGTCTTAGGGCGCACCGACAACATGTTCGTACGCTATAGCTTCGACATAACCAAATTGCTGATCGAAGACAACGTTATCGAAGTGCAGCTATTCTCACCGATACAGACGGCTAAAAAACGTGCCGCAGACTTCGCTGTTAATGGAACATCTTATCCGCCGAATTGTCCCTCCGATCGCTATCATGGCGAGTGTAATGTCAATATGCTGCGAAAGATGCAGACTAGTTTTTCATGGGATTTTGCCCCAGCGGTGCCTTCAATGGGAATTTGGTAGGTTGAAAGTGGATGAAAACGTCTAAAAGACCTAACCTAATTGCCATTCATAGGAAATCCGTGTACTTGGAATGCTACGATGTAGCGATTATTCGTGATGTGGATGTGGTCATCAGCCGCACGAAAACGCATTGGAAGGCAGAGATGTATGTGTACGTTGATGTGGGTGGATCAGAGGACTTCTTTGCTGAGCTCAAGTTCTACGCTTTGTGAGTTTACAATTAAAATATGCACAAATATTCGTTATGTTTATGTTCTTCTTTATTATAGTGGTCTCTTGGACGAACCAGTTATCATTAAGGACTACACAAAGCAACGTCTGATGCGTAAGAATCCGGTCATAATGTTTTCACAAACTTTCCCTTTGGTAAGCTAGACAAATTTTTATATATTTTTTAATACTTCAAATTACTTACATATATAGAACTCCGTTATTGCTTGGTGGCCTAATGGTTTTGGCAGCCAAAATTTATACACCTTTAATTTTGTGCTCAATGCATGGCTAAGTAACGAAGGTCCGAACATAGATTCGCCAACAGTCTCGCAAAAATCAGTTCGCATAGGTTTTCGTACAATAGAACTTGTGGAACAGGAGCTAACAAATCGTAAGAATTTGAAACGAACTTTCATAGCGCAAAGAGTAACTGTGCCTGATCTTTTCAGGTAACGGCTACACATTCTTCTTCCGTATAAATGGCGAGGACATCTTTATAAAGGGCGCTAACTATATGCCATCGCACGTGCTGCCGGAGAAAATGCAAGATCCCGAACGCCGTAAGTACTTAATATTGATAATAGAAAGGGGTGTGAATTTATAATCATTTCTCGAAACTATAAAGAAATATTTTGAAAGTGATTCAGGAACCAATGACTGACGCTCTTGGTCTCTGCTGTCAGGGACCTACTTCTGCCAGTGGTTGCGATTATTGGTCTGAATTTTGTTTAATAGATACCAAACTTTTTACATTTCACTTTTAACATTTCAGTTTTTGGGGTGAAAATGCTGAAATTTCTAAAAACAAACTCCTAAATTTAACAGTAAACTCTAACAACTCTATTTCCTCACAGTCAAGCACCTGCTCACTTCTGCCAAGGATGCCAATATGAATATGTTACGCGTTTGGGGCGGTGGCATTTATGAATCCGATCTTTTCTACGAACTCGCTGACACATTGGGTTTGCTAATCTGGCAGGATATGACCTTCGCAAGCGCCATGTATCCTGTTGACTCGGCTTTCCTTGACTCTGTCCGCACCGAGGTGGTGCAGAACGCGCGCCGTATCGCCTATCATCCCAGCTTGGTTGTATTAGTCGCCAACAGTGAAAACGAACTGGCCTTGGCTCAGAACCTGTATGGCACGCTCGTTGAGCAGAAGCGTTTCGAGAATGAATACCGATCATTATATATGAATAATGTGATTCGACAATTGAAATCAATGCAACATCCCGCACGCATTTCGCCGCTGTTCTCAACACCATCGATAGGGAAACGTGGAGAGAAGTACAATTACATTTCACCGGATCCACAAAGCGCACAATATGGCGATGGTAAACAGATGCTATATTATACAGATCTAATCTCTATCTTTAATATTATTGCAGTCCACTACTTTGTGGTACACGAAAACGGTTGGAATGTCAATATTTACCCCACGCCACGTTTTGTCTCCGAGTATGGCTTCCAGAGTTTACCGCGCGCGGAAGCTTGGAAGCGCAGCATGCTGACCGGGGATAATTTAATGGAAATAATGCGTCATCGTCAACATCATCCCATGGCCATGCTACCGATTGTGAATTTGATACGCCCCAATCTACCGCTACCGCTGACGAAAGACGCACGTTATACCGATGCACTGATTTATTTCAGTCAAATCGCACAAGCAATGGCGCTAAAAGTTGAAACCGAATGGTATCGCAGTCTACGAAACACCGAGCATCGTACCATGGGCGCACTCTATTGGCAGCTGAACGATGTCTGGGTGGCACCCTCCTGGTCCACAATTGATTTCTTCGGCAATTATAAGGTACTTGGCATTGTTTCGGTATAAACTTTGATTTCTAGGTCTTGTAAGGAGTCACATTAGTAATCAACATATTACCAGACATCATAAAAAAAACTTGCATTTATTCTATAGAACACTACTAAGCTCTCCAAAAATATCTTTCTCTTACGTCCACAGCTCGCCTATTATTGGTCTAAAGAATTCTTGGCGCCGATAACGATCATTGCCTTACCTGACACTAATAACAATGCTATTAATGTAACGATCGCTTGTGATCAATTGGAAGTAGGCAGCGAAAGTGTGCATGTAACGGTACAACTTATCAAATACGACAAGTTGACGGCGGTGAATTATACCAAAATTAACACGAGCTTGGTAGGTTTTGCTCATTCAATCAATAAAGTTATATATAGTGTAACCATTTTCTGCAAATTTAGAAAAGCAACAGCGCAACTAACATACAATCACTTGCCAAAAACAAAATTTTCACCAATGAGACTACAGAAAAGAACACCTTCTTGAAGCTTATTCTACACAAGGGATCTGTTGAAATCTCGTCGACCTACTTCTTTCCAATGTCCTTTAATAAAGCTGAAGGCATCAGCGATCCTGAACTGGCTGTTAGTGTCGTTATATTTTTTTTATTTTTTTTATTATTATCACTTTTATATATTTCTTTCTAGTATGATTTACAATGGATGCACTGCATTGAAAAAGACCAGTCCTACGAGAATGCCTATACTTTGAAGATCGCTGTAAAGCGACCAGCATTCTTTGTTGTCATTGATATTATTCATCCGAAGGTGGGAAAGTTTAAGCTATCACATAACGGCTTTGTTCAAACCAGTCCCACCACAAAGGTGAATTTACTATTCAACGCGGCAGAATGCATCATTCTACAGAATTCGAATGTGATAATTAAAACCATGCATCAATTTATTTCCTAAAGGTGAAGATATCGCTACAACTAGCATATATACAGTATATTCTCATATGATTAAAATACACAAATTTTTGAAAAGAAAAACAAATAAGCATGAAAAATTAAGAAATATTGTGTTTTATTAATTTGTTCAAGTTGTTAGAGTATACAAGTAGGGTGTAAGTTTTAATATTTCTCCTTCTTTCTGGCAATTTGGCTTGGTGGTCAAGAATGAATCACGCCATTTTTTGATATCCTGTACCTATTTGAATCGTATTCCAGTGTGGACTTTCTGCATCAACCGGAACAAATGATAGTCAGAAAAGGAAAGATCTGAACTATAAGACGGGTGAGGCACAAACTCCCAGCCGCTGTTTTCCAAATAGTTTTTAACCAGTCTTGCAACATAAAGCAACGAGCGTTGTCATGATGAAAAATTATTGCTTCGGGTTACAAATTCCGGTCGTTTTTCGATATTGGCTCGCTTCAATTTGAAGAAGGTCAAAATACAGCATGCTATTCTGATCCCACCAAGTACACTCAATTGCTTTTGAATACAGTCGGCTGATTTTAAATGGTGGGCAATGCCTGCTTGCGTCACTCCCAAAGATTCTGTGAAGTCTTTTTGTGTTGGGTAACAATCGTCATCGAGTTATACTTCCAGCTCTTCATCTTCAAACTTTCTTGGCCGGCCAGGACGTGCTTCGTCTTCCAAGCCAAAATCACCACTTTTAAATCGAGCAAAACGACTTTTGGCACGTTTGCTCAGCTAGAAACGAAAAATCACCATACAATTCATACATCAAAATACGATGACTTTACACTTGAGCTTTCTTCATATTAAAATAATGAAAGACAACTCCCCGCAAAAACACTTTTTCAAGCACAAAGTTCCAGATATTTGATTAAAAATATTATAGTTGTTTCCGCTTCTAATGAATGACATATATTGGAAGAGACGGTCAAGTACAGAAACTTTCCAACGGATGTTCGGAATATTGAAACAATGGAATAATAATCCAGTTATGCAATCTCTTGGCAAAACAATACATAAATTATTGTTTCTAAAGACCGTCGCTTAAAGCGATAGAAGTAAAGAACTGGAAATGTAACAAGCGTGGATTTTATTCATAATAGATTTCTTCTCCATCAAAATCTTCTTGATTGGAATCATTGTGTTAAAAGTCTTACTCGTTTAAATGGATAAAGTAATATGCGACCTGCTTACTTCATTTACTTTCTGATGATTTTTCGTAGACACTTAATTTTTCCCCAGTTGCATTGACTACAACTACTCATCTCATAGAAAGCTTATTTAACTTCTTACTCGATCTTTCAACTTTTCGATGCTTTTTTTGGAGTTCGATTTGTATTTTACCTTAAAATTTCCTTAGTCTCGACGAAACTAAAATACGATACGTTATTACTGCTAAACTTCTTTCCAGCTAGCAGTCTCTTGAGATCTGAGAACAAAAAGAGACCGCTTCATATTCTAAGAATACTGTGAATGACGAAAATAGTCCTAGTGCATACAATTTTTCCAGACTTTTGCCAAGTCGGAATAGTCTTTTGCCGACTTTTTTACTCCTTTTCTATTTGGTTTTTATCACCTCAATTATCACAAACCGACGTTTCCGCATTGGCATGTTGAATTTGTTGAATAGCCAGAATTCGCATGGGGCCGAATCAAACGAATGCGTTGGTTACGGAACGGTTTTTTGGCAAAACAGTCGCGAAGAACTAATGCAGTATGACATGGTGCTTTCTTTATTATGATAAAGAAACCAAGAGTTGTTCGCCCATAATTTTGGCCGTTTCTGATGAATAGCTTGAAGCAAACGACGCATAACGCTCAAATAATATAATTTTTTGGCAATTTTGTACAGCGGAAAGAATTCATAGCGCACCACACGACGATAATCACATCTACTTACTTTTACATAAGTATTCAGTTATTAGCAAATAAAAATTTTTTGTTTTTGTTTTGGCGGCAAATTAATTTATTTTCCCATGTTAAGTACAACCCTTCTTTCTATCAGAACTAGTCAAAATGGTTCGAGCTTTTAATTGAATTAGTTTTTTTATTACAAAAAATAATACATTCAGTTTGAATTCACATCTTGAATTGGGCACTTACAGGCACATACACATTATTTACATCCTTAAAACTAATACACAGTGCGAATTAGGCACATCATTTCCGATTAATATTTAAATTGTGCATCGGTAAACACTATAATTTAGCTAAAGTCAATTAGTTTAGCCTTAATGACACATATAATTAGTATTTATTTCTATTTTTCCTACAATACTAGTAAATTTCAGTTAAGTAGTTATATTTATAATCGACTAATATTTCAACTTTTCACTAAAGCAACCATTTCAAAAAACTGCAAAAAACGGTTAAACCCAACAACAGCGCTGGAATTGTTACCGTGAGAAAACTACGCGTGCGATTGCCCGAACCACGCGCCGCACGATAATCCTCTTCCGGCAGATATTCGCGTATGTGACGGGTCTTATTCATCATCCAGTGGAAGGCCTGCATGTTACCCTGACGTTTCAACTCGCCACCAACAAATTCGCGCACTTTCGCGTTGTACTCGTTGAGATAGCGTTTCTAGTGAGAAAGCAGAAGAAGCGGGATTACTAAATACATCTTTTTATAAAAAATTATTTAAAATACTATATATAATGGAATTTGGATTATTTACAAAATTCCGGCTATATATTTTATTTTCCTCACCTCCATTGCATTTAAAAGCGTAGGATCGATTAACTTTGGCTCGAAGGGTACCAAAGTTACTTGGCGAAATTCCAGAAATTTCATGCCATTCGGATGCGTCTTGCCTGTATCGACTACTTCTAGCACATTTTTCAGGCGTACACCAAACTCACCAGGCCGATAGAAACCAGCCTCTGAAATATTCGAGAAAACATCAAGCCATAAATAAGAGTTTACATAGTACAAAACTCTAATATTAGAACTAACACCCACCGCTTGAAAAGAAATATCCCTCCAGAAAACGATGAGAGCCTTCCTCGCCGTAGGCTATAGAAATTGGGGCTATGAGTATAACGATTTGGTTTGCTGTTAAAAAATATCTGCAAATATTTTTTTCAAACTATACTTCAACTTACGCTCCTTAACCGCTCCGTAGGCGCCTATACCGCTACCCGTCGTCTGTGGATAATCCACCATATTTTCCCACTCCAAACGTCGCACCAATACATCCAAACCGGATGCACGTAAATTGGAGGGAAACCGTAGCTTTGCCAGCACCAACATGCCCGCCAACACATTTGTATAGGCGCGTTTCATATCTGTCGTCGGTTCACCGAAAATAAACGTACGCGATACATCGGTTGTACCTTCGTAATATTGGCCACCCGATTCAATGACCAGCAAACTCTGATCGGTCACTTCGATATCGGTAACATTGCTAGAAATGTAGTACGGTAATGCGGAATGTTCGCCGAAAGCTACAACACTGCGCTTCGAAAGACCACGTGCATTATTCTGCGAGAGCCGCGAACGATCGATCTCATATTTCACCTTCTCCTCGGTCCATTGCTCGATGAAAAACTGCAGTACAAATTAGAGCAAGTAATGAGTAAATTTTTTCAACATATGTATATCAGAGCTACTTAACACTCACTCGGTTTTCCAAAATGCTCATGGCTTCACATATGGCTGCGGCATCACGCACATGCGCCTCATGCATACCACGCTGCTCTTCGGGAGTTTTTTGCGCGCGCATAAATATTATGGGCGAAGCCTCTATGTAAACTATATTACTTGGCAATGCCGCGAAGACGGCTTCAGACGCACCTTCTTCATTCACACATGGAGCTGGTACCAATACACGTTTCCAAATTTGCGCATAGGTGCGCAGATCACTCCACACTTTGTAGTATTCCCTAATTCTGCGAGAATAATTTGTAGTTTAGAAAAGGTGACTTGTAAAATATTATTATATAATATTTACTTCACACAACGTTCGTTGTAGCAGTCTGTACGCAAATGAAAATCAATGCCCTGAGTCATCTTACTATGGTCAACGTAGAAAAAGATTTCATCGTGGCTCACTATGAGGTAGGACTGAAAAGTAACGAGTTGAAACTCTATTTATCTCTTCCTCTACATATTCAAAAAACTTACCTTCACCACCGGCGTATATGGCAAGTCCAGTCCACGTATATTCAGCAAGTAGGCTATCTCGGTGAGTGATGTAACTATGATGGCATTACAACTAAATTTCTGCAATTTCATTCTCAACTCGTCCACTTTAACCTCCCACTTGTCGCCGGCGAACTGTAGTTCTTGTACGCGTATTGTGAAATTTGATGCTGGCGGACGATCCACCCATATCATGTCCAGCAAATTGTTATTTATGCGGCTAAGCACTAGTAGCCGATTACCCAGCTCGCGCTCCCAACGCATCCACAAATAGTGTGGCACAAGATGTGGATCGGCGCCAACGCGCTGATTTGCATACAATTTAGCCTTTGAGCATAAAATTAAAAAGATTTTAATTATTTTTCTTTTATTAACTTTTCATTTGCACCAACCGAAAGCCAAGCCGTTATCGTTACAGTGTCGTTCATCCGATAAAGCTCCCATTCACAGTCGATTTCCGCATCAGCTTGCTGCACATAGCGATTGTCTACCCAGAGCGCCGCCGAACGCGCCGTAACGACAGCAAAAGCTCCAATACCCGTAAAACCAGTAAGATATTGTACGCGTTTGTCACTTTCGGTCATTTCCTGATTCAAATGCTCATCGTAGGGTGGTAATATATATGCATCGATCTCGAGACCACGCAGCGATGAACGAATTTTCATCTGTTCACGCAACGCATGCAGACGTTGTCGGTATTCGGTTACAGGTCTTAGCTGGAAGAACCAAGTACAATATTAATCGTAATATTATGAGATAATCCTTTTGAAATTTAACTGTCTAGAAAGCATTTCCAAAATGTTTGTTGTTTCTAAGAGATTAAGGAAAATGAACAATTCCTGCTATGTTTGATTATGTTTTTGCGAAAGAGGTTATGTAAGATATTATTTATCAATCCTCCAAAGGCAGAGTTCTCCTAAAAAACAGTATATACTATGAAGCAGACTCCAATTGGTTATTAATACGTCATAGTAGCCAACAAATCAGTCAGCTTAGACTTTGTCCACTTTTTTATCAGAGAGCTCTGCACATATTTTATTTTCCTCAGCATTCTCTACGCTTATTCCAAGGTCATCTATTTGGGCTTTAACCTTATTGGACCTTATAAATAAATGACAGAGACAGTAACTGAACCAGAACGGAATGTAATGCCGTATTACTTATATTGCCACGACAGCGAAAAGCTTCAAAGCATTCTTCAACCAAGTATAATACAACTATCAGTAGTTTCAGAGGTCTGATTGTAAGGGATGCGTCGAATGAATGCGATTACTTCAGCTAAGAAACTACTACATTGCTGCGATAAACTGTAATTGAAACAGACAATACTTCATCGGAAACTTTCCCAAGGTAGGCGGGTTGAAGACGCAAGACTATTAAAAACATTAACAGCACGCGGCGTTCGACTTAATGAATACTTTGAAAGTCTTCCAGCCCTGGTAGTTGAAACATGGAGGGTCGTGGAAGATATTTTAACTAGCTTAAATCTAAAAAGAAAGTATTCTGTAGCCATATCTATCAAAGTGACTAGTTCCAGCTGTTAGAAATTCACGGTTGCTTTACTTTAGTCCACAAACTGTATCAAAACCAAAGTAAATTTTGCAGTTCGGCCCATACCTATAGGACTTAAAGGTCAGCTTTGAATTTAATTATAAGATCAGAACACGATTCCTCTTCTTTATATTTGGATCTCAACGCTATTTCTATTGCCTCTTATGAGTCAATAAACTACGCTCATATGCGAATTGCGAACCTTGCCTCGGTTATGCGGAAAGAGGATAATCGTTAGGTTTATTATTAATATTATCATATAACGCCAAACAGACATTGTTATTCCTCAACTAATCGACCAATGGCTAATACTTAAAAACATAAATGAGGAAAAAATCTTAAAATCACTTACCAATTTCCCCTTGCGATATTTGCAGACCTCACGAAAATATCCGGTTGGTTCATTAGCCGCTGAGCTGGTGACTAGCAAAACTGTAAAAACAATACAACAAAACCAAAGGTGTGAACTCAATTATATGACCATTCAATTACTCATTAAGTCATTAGCAACAAGAAAACGAGCTTCTTAAGCGATCATTTAATGTATTAACAACAATTGGTATTGGTCCTGCAAAAACTTCATGTGCTAGATAATATTATACAAAGGAGTAGCATACATAGTGAATGTAAAATTTAGAAAGCTTTTTTCAGCAGAGCACTCAGTGCAAGTACACTTCTAATAAGTATGTATTTTTTGTGTATAAATAATTAAAATAATTTAGTCTCGCTAGATATAGCTCGAATGCATCACACGTCCATCTCTGCCAAGTTCAACGTCAAAAAGCAAAAAGTATTTTCACCCCCACCCACTTTTTTGTGCAGAAAGTGTCATATTGACATGGAAATTGCCTCTACATTTATCACAACTAAAAGATATTTATATTGAGAGTGACGGCATTTTGTCAGCGGAAAGTCAAAATGTTCATAAAATTTGGTGAAATATGTTAAACAAAAATACATAAGAGTATATTATATAGGTATATAACAGAAACTGGGTGAAATGCTTTTGCAAATTAGAGGGGTTTGTCACAATTTTATGGCAGCGCTACTAATCTTCCCATTCATTTCTATATTAAATATTATTATTTGTATTTGTTGCATTGCAACAGCTGTCGTGCGAATTTCGAAATGCGATTTTTGAATACTTAAATTAAATTTGTTATTTATATATGTATTTTTATGAAAAGAATTTTTAGAGAAATATTATATGAACATACTAAGGTGGGAGTATGAAATATACAACAAAATATAAATAATAAATTATATGGTATTAGAATCGGAATCTTCAATTTATAACAAAGAACTAAATGTCTATTAAAAATGTGTTTCAAAAACTAAGGTTCTGGTCAAAATACTCCAAAACTTTTAGTACGAAGGAGCGCACTATATTTAGAGCGATAAGTTGACAATATAAAATAACTCCCACTTTGACATTAAAATATATCCAATTCCAACAAAAAATAAAAAAAAGCTTTAACTTCAGTTCCAACGAAGCTATAATACCCTTCACAGGTACATTTTTTATAACATAAAGGAGTTTAAAAAGGTCTTTGTTTTGACTTTGATTGGTCATATAAACTGGCAGCTATATGCTATAGTGATTTAATCTGAACAATTTCTTGGAAGATTCTAAAGATGCATTTAATAACAATATATGATAATTTCGTGAAGAAATCTTAACAATTAAAAAGTTATTCCATACAAGCACTTGATTCCGATCGTTCAGTTTGCATTACAGCTATGTGCTACAGTGGTCCGATATCGACGGTTCCGACAAATGACCAGCTTCTTGGGGAGAAAAGGACGTGTGCCCAATTTCAGATCTGAAAACGGAGGTACTGTACAGACGAACGAACAAACGGAGATAGCTAAATCGACTCAGCTCGTCAAGCTGATCATTTATATAATATATATATTTTATAAGGTCTCCAAAGTTTCCTTCTAGGTATTACAATACACAAAACTTACAGATAGCTGGCAATAATTATTGGCTGTGGGGATGCGGTGTATGCCAAAGTTTTGTGTTCCTAGAAGTAGACGTTTGGGAAGCTTGCAGCAAGCCTATTTGTTTCCACAATATTATTATATTGCTAAATTTCTTCACATCAACATGATAATTCAATTGAAATACTATAGACACTATCCCAAGCCAAGCTTGCAGAAATTCTCAAAATCACTTAAAATAATTATGCCCGGTATAATGAAAGTGTAAATCTGGAGAGTGTTCTTGTAAATAGTATATAATATAAATTTTCAAAAAAGCGGTCTAAAGTGACCGTTAAAAATAAATCCTATGTTTAATGCGATTACCGAGAGCAGTATCAGATTCGTAGGTTTGTTTTGACCGCGTGTGGACGTAGGCGTGTCATGCTGGTGTAACGAGCTTCAATGTGGACACTCGCCAATTTTTGATAAGCCACACCCAGGTGCCCCGGAAAAGGCTACTACGCAGGATATATATTTTCAGAACGCTGATTGAAGCTACAGGTAATATCTGAGACTATAAGCATCTAAAGAGACCGCATGGATCGTATCCTGCCTCAAATATTGGACATGAGAAAGGTGGCAATTGTGAAACACTTTCCAGCAGTGTTTGACGCAGTTTAAAAGTAATTCTAAGGAGTTGCAGAGTTCTTTTGTGACCGTCGACTAAACATGGATGCACGGATACACACCTGGTATTATGGAATAGTCGAAACAGTGTACTTAATCTAGTAAACTTGCTGCAAGGAAGGCGAACACTGATGCTGAAGCGCCGGAGATTTATGGCAACCGTCTTCTGGGATTCAAATTATCTGGATAACTCTGGTGTAATCCCACTGCCTGGAAAATGGCAAAACAGTCACAGGGCCCTACTAACTTAAATTATCGGGCTGTTTTGGCGACAAGTTGTTGTAAAAAGACACAATTTGGGAAAAAATGCTCTTCTGTCTTGATAACCCACCGACTGGACAGATTTCTGCTAACTTTTCATATCCGAATGAATGTTCTATACCATCGATCACGTCACAACAATTTTCTTTCAAATTATGTATGCGGCATTTAGCTGAGTCGCTGAACTAGATCCCTTTATCATATCGCATTAATGAAACTAAGTATTTATTTAGACTCCCTAGGCAATTTCACGCATTAATATTTTTTTTTTTAATATAAAAGAATAAGAAAAACACCCATTAGACCCAAATTCATGGTCAGCAATCAAATTGAGAACACATGGCCCACTGTGGACAGATGCCACAGTTGAGTGATGACGCTACTACTGATCATAATTTCCGCGGCAATCGGCTACATTACACATCTGTAGCGACAGCAGCGCAAGCATAAACGAGTGATTTATTGTCAAAATGCCATGCCAGAAGATTTGTGGAAAAGACTTCGAGGAAATATTGCTAAATACTTTATGTTATTGTTAAATGTCGGCAGAGTCATGCTTGTTAAAAATATGAAATTACTAAAAAGCAAAACGGAATTATTAATCACGTATACGCACCGTGGTATGGTCGATGTATTTACTCATGACGTGCACGAATTAAAAATAAAATCGAACAACGGAATGAATGCTCGATGATTGTTTTTATATATTTTTTATATAGACGTTCTGCCTTCCAGAATTTGAAGTGGTATTTAGAAATAGAATTTTTAGAACAGCAATTTTTTTAGTTGGAGCTAGAAGGTTGCTCTTTTATGGTTTTGAATTGAACTGAGACTGTTATTTTAAAATTTTATTTTTATACAGTAGTACAAGTATATCCCTTGGAATTTGGATCCCACCTTGTGCAGGTACCAGGAACCGATGGCCATCACCTTTCCAGCCAATAGCAAAATATTCACCTACTTTGCAGCAAAGTTGGCTGGTGAAGCACACAGTTTCGACGGTTCCTTGATGTCTGATATATACCACGAAACAACGTAGAAACTCCTTCGGCTTGTACTCAAACTGAGTCAAACACTACTGCGAAGTAATTTCAGAGTTGAACTTTTTTCCCTGAGTGAGCAAGCGCGCCATCTATGGTTCCGACAGCTTTCTCTTGTCGAATATTTCATGCAGACTCATGCGTTCTTTTGAGATGCTTACTGCGAATGGCAGTTTGGAAATTAAGTATCGTAAACCTTCGTCAGAGGCTCGTCAAAAACTGTCGTGCGACCACGTTAAAGCTTGTTAAACAATTTATTGACCATCCCTACCGTAGTAGAATCACCGAACATTATTCCTCGTTTCCCTTCTATCTAAAATCCGCGGACACACCCCCTACTTCATGGGGTCAAAACTACCAGTCCGTCTTGGTTGAAACTTCGGCAGTAGCCGTCAGTGCGTTGATGTTAGGTACTTATCGGTACGCCCTCGTATATGTAAGGACCTCAAGCATAGCAATTCATGCCGAAAAAATTATAATTGATTGATTGCAAATTCTTGGCTACGGCTTCAGAGAATTAAACGTTTTCGTTTTTAGTTTTGTATAGAGCCTTTATTAAGTATTTCAAAATATGAAAAGCACAAAATATTTTAATTACTGCCGACCGCTGCTCAAGCATTTAGCATTGTCGATTTTTTGCTACAAATTGTTGGATTACATTAAAATACTTCAACAGTGGCGGCCATAAAAATAAGCCTACATGCGTTAATATTTTTCAGATTTAGCAAATATTTATTACACAAACAACAAGCAGCTAGCAAACTCTCTCTGCCAGCGCACATCTACTCACCTAGAATGCTCAACGCCAATCGCCAAAACCATTTAGCTGTCGACATCTTTTCGGAATGCTCCGCTCCAGCTGCTGTTGCTGTTGATGGCTGTTATTGTTATTGCTGCTCATACAATTTTCATAAAGTTTCGAACGACTATCACAACGTGCGCGGCACACAAATGGCTCTGATTTCAGCACATACGTACACCTACACGTACATGCCCACACACGCACACAGTCGCCAAAACAAATCGCTTTTCCGCAATTAACGCAAAGTGCGGTGTGAGTTTTCTTTTCGCAAATCACATAAACTTTCTAGGCCTCACTGCAATAATTATGCTTATATGTATCGCATTGAACGCTTGGCCGTTGGCAATCCGAACCTCGCGCACACTGATGTTCTCCGGTTGTATTCTGAAAGAGAAGACATTTGCGGTTGCGTTGCGGTGAATGCGGTTTTGTTATCGCGCGAGTTTTTTGATTAGCGATTAAAGTGCGAAGTAAACAACACAGATGCCTTAATCGTTGTGCACACATTGTTGCTGCCGTGCTTGAACAACAGAGATTTAGATATTTTATCTGTTTTAAGCGTTAGTGGAGACATACACACATGCGCACATATCTCGATATATGTATATTAAATATGCGAGATACAAGTCTAGTGGCGCTGTTTCTATAAAGACACGCGCAGTTAAATTAAAATAGAAAATCTTAAATAATTTGCTCGACCACTTCTGCTATTTAGAATGCCTTTGCGACTTATGTGGTATGCATATAAATTGATATTATACAAATAAGATGAGGCTACTAGCTTCTGGTGCGGTGAAATACATCCGTCATTACGTGTAATAGCGAATTGATATTAATCATATTAGTGCCTGTACATGTGACAGTTATGTATGATATAAAGTCAACCTGGAATGATTTCACCCACATTCGCCTAAAAACTGCAATAAATCTACTAAAATATTTTCAATTATTTTTGTTAAGAAATCCTACATAATGACCAAAATATACGATATAAAGTCAATTGGAAGCTTAAATTTTTTTTATTAAGTATATACAAGCTAGTGGCAGTATTGACTCGTGTTTATCCAGTTTTCGCATCACAACATATTATAATCATAAAAGGATGCCCTCTGAGTTTCATTAAGATACCTCACATATTGACCGATGTGGCATAAAGTCAACTGGAAATTGAAAAATTCTTATATTGAGTATATGGGGGCTAGATAAAGTAGTGAACCGATGGTATCAGTTATTAAGAGGAAAAGTTGCCCTTATAATTTCGTTAAGATATATGTATTACAGACTTACTAATCCCAACATAGGCACTGAGATTGTTTTACTCCGTTTCTGAGGGCTTGAAATGGTTAGGTAACATCTTTTAGACGAGAGGTGCCACACCTTGAAGGCACTACTTGTGCAAGATTCAATGTTTTCGATGGTTTTTGATTTATATGTTGTCAAGGGAACGATAGATTTAACGAGGATTTCAATAAGATGGACAGATTGTCACCCGGATAAAGCTAGTATATTATATAGTTTAGTCTTCGGTACAAACCAATTTATTACATAATTCACGAACATAGAGAATTGATCTTAAAAATGTGACTTTGAGCTTTCAACCTATTCATATATGTATTATGCGAAATAGAGTATATAGGAATGAAATCGGGATTTATATAACCACTGCAGAAAAGATGTAATTGCTCAATTATATTATTTTTTATTTTCATAATCAGTCATAAGAGTTCTTTTATTAATAATAAGAATGAGTTTGTTTTGCAAGTACTGAAATTCAACATTAGACTAGAAAATTTATACTACTGATTTCCACAGCTTCTAGCAAACTTGATTAATATTACACTATTAAGCTTTGTTTCTGTAAAAGTAATCTAAAAGTTTTTCCTTGTCCCACATTCCTTACTAATTATCAATACCAAGCAAACTTGCATTATTTAAGACAGATAAGAATATAACTTGAGCTCATGATGCAGTTTATATGCGATTGCGAAAATATTTAATGCATTTAAGAACCAAAATTTGCATGAGCTCAATAATTTTTTAGTTCAGTCTAAGATTTAGACTCTAAATACATAACTGAAAGAGAGCGAGAGTTAATCATGCTCAATTTACGACGACATATTTACAAGCAGTTAGAAGCAAGATATGAATTTTCCTATCTGATAAGATAAAAAAAAGAAAATACCTTTATGCGGACTACCTTCCTGTTACAATTAAGAGCTTATACTTTAGAGCCTTTCTTGGATGTGTATATGAACTAATTTTTCAGAATATGAAGCTCAAAAGAAACTATTCGGTTTTTTTACCCACTCTTCTAGTTCGAATCAGATGTGATAGAGTCGGCTATATCTATATATATATAGTTGTTTTTTATATTTATTTTAATTTTTCTAAAATTTGATCGTCAGTTTGAAAATTTCTTTGCAATGATATGATTACCAATGTTCTTCTAGATTCACTGCCAATAGAAATATTGAAACTCTAAAGTGTGAAATACGAAACCACAGAATTTTTAGCGAATGTAACTAAAGATATTAATATAAACAAAAAATAATTACATAGATTGAGTAAAAAATTTTTATTCAAAGAATCGTCAGCAACTTTAGATTTACATAAGAAAAATCCATAAAGGTCTAGTAAAAATAAATTCATTATTATAGCTGGCTTTAGTAAACTGAATAGCGTGCATGGTCCTGTTATTATAACAACCAATCATAACCAACTGTTCCCATCTATGACGAATAATTTTTTTTGTGCAGCTGTCCCATTTTTCATTATAAGAATGATAGATACTACTTATGATAGTAAAATTACCTTCAAAATATTTATCAAACAAAATGGTGTAAATTTGGCTTAAGTAGAATCATGCACATATAATAGACTTCCTTTTACTAAAGATCATTCAGATTTAGTAACTAACGACTCTGACTTAAATACAATTTGGATATTATAGTATGATCACGGCGTCTAATCTCTGAAGACAGAATATTTTTGGATAACCTGCTAACAAGCAATAACAAGTTGCCTCCAAGAAAGGGGGACCGAAGACAACTACGTACTATTTAGAAGGTAAATGAATATAAAATATCTAAAATTATATTTGTTTTAAAAGGGCTGATATACATTTTTTTAATCACTTTACTTATTTAAAATAAATATATAGCGTATGATTGGAATGTCAAGACGAAGTAGCACTCTATATCTGAAAAATTTGCAAGATGATAAATAAGCTCTAGAGGTCCACCGCTGGTTTTTAGAGCACTAAGATTAGACATTTTTCAAAAATCAAGAGCGTTTTTATGCCATAGACCTGCAGCTTCAGAAAGTGGAAATAATTTGTCGAGATTTAACTCACGTTATCTGAGTGAGGTTAGTCATATCCTCAATTTGTGGGTAGATTGCATGTCTAGGAGTCAGTTACAGTAATACATTTGAGTCAAAAAATGTTAGCAATGATTATACCGAAGCACGTGCCGTTGATTCTTATGCTTGAATCTGGGATTTTGTTCGACAAGTGCTAACATTTGGACGTGTTGCTCGATTCTTTAAATTAATGCTCACCGTTGGAACCGACCAAAATATACATACACCTATGTATATGGCGGTAAGTATCTATGTGTGTATGCATACTAAATATATGTACTTGTAGTTTGAGGGCTTGTTAATGTGCTTCACACACCCACCATGCAACGGAAGCGAAATTTTATTGCTTCCTCTCGGACGAACATCTTGTTTGTTTGGAATGCTGCTAAGTTTAGATGAATAAAAAATGTTATGTGTATATTAGCCGTTACCGTTTCGGTTGAATAAGACTATGTGGAAGAGAAGTTCAAGTCAAAAGAAGTTCAAAATCAAAAATCTAAAGTTGCGTTCTATAATTTTCTTATTCCACTCCTTAACAATAAAGTGACGACAATAAAGAGCTGCGCACTTTATTCGTCTAAAAACACATCATACTTGTACTTATTTGGCAACTAGATAATTAAAAACGAATTGACAAATTAGAACTATTGATTAGAACAAAGCGACCTTCCGACGTTGCCAAATTTGGTGAGCCCAAGCAATAAATAAAAATAATTTTGTAATTTAATGAAATTACATTCTTGCTTGCTCATTCCAGCGCCAGCCAATTATGAGTGGCGGCTTTCTATGGGCACCGGACGCAAATACACACACAAAGGCATATACTCGCATGTGTTGCATATAAATATATTTATTATATATACTTATATATAGTTTTTAAGCAGCTAAATTATACACTTCATTTAAATGTCATATATTTACTAAAATGTCGTTGGTGGCGTTGCAACGGCTTGCCTTGCTGTGTGGGTTGCAAGTGTTGGAAAAAAATGCAACAACAACAATTTTAATTGTAGCTTAAATATAGTAGCAATTTGCACTAACGTCAGTTGAATGCAACAGCTGCCAACAAGGGCAAATTCTATGCAAATTCATATTTCTTTTTTGTTCTAATAAAATTAGTTAAGCGTTGGCAAACGCAAGCAAAGCTGCATAGACGTATGTACGTGTATGTGCGTGTTTGTATGTATATTAGGCAATGCAACAAATGCGTAAACGCACACACTTGTGCATGTGTGTAGTTCCTTCCTGCATTTGTTTACTTGTGACTATATATGCATGTACTACTTATGTATATTTGTGCATGTGTGTGTGCTATACATGCTGCCAATATATTTTTATAAGCATATATGAGCTGTTTATTGCGCTGGCAAACAATGTTGCGAACAACTATTTATGACATTTGCTTTGTGGGCGAATTGTAATGTATCCAACACTTGCTGTCAAAGGTCATATTTGACAAAATGGCATATATGGATGGTGTCAAGGACGTTCACCATTCACATAGTGATAATTTTTCTAGGACTTGACAATAAGATAATTGTACTAGAAACATTGAATATATGAAATGATTTTATCTGTTGAAAGTAACTTATTCGATCTGAGATCGGAAATTGTAGCGTTGCCTTGGACTATAATTTCCGTCAATTTCGTGAACATATCTCGCCAAATGAAAAGGTTTTTCATACAAGCACTTGATTCCGATCATTCAGCTTTTATGGCAGCTATATGCAATAGTGGTCCGATATCGGCGGTTCCGGAAAAATAATAAATAAGTTTGTTAGGGGAAAAAGGACGTGGACATAATTTCAGATCGATGTCTCAAAAATTGAGGGACTAATTGGCGTATATACAGATACACGCACGGACAAACAAACAGACAGACGGACATAGCTACGAACGACTTAGCTCATCACACTGATCATTCATACACATATACATTTTATAGGGTCTCCGACGTTTCCTTGGCCAACTTAATATCCCCTTTTTAAGGTATAAAAATTTATTATATATTAGTTGAAAGAGGAGACTTTTCATTATCCCAGGTGGATATTGTGCATTCTGCCGATTCATAGTCTTTTAAGGGTTTATGATTTTATATTATTCTGTTTCTTCTTTCCTAAAGGAAACATTGCAGTGTGTCGACCATTCATATTACACCAATGCCTCTATTAACCATAGCAGCTGAATGGCCGTGACCAGCTTATAAAAACTTCTTTTAAGGGATTTTCACAGAAGAATCCACACATATTTTTATTTAGATTAAATCATCAGAGATACAGATAACTGTAACTTTAATTATTATTTACTTTTGAAGAAAGAATATATTATATCCAATCTAGCCCGAGTTCTGTATCAAGGTTCCGTATGATGCTAGAGCGTGAAGCGCAGCCAGTCTCCAGTAGCCTAAAACTTTCACTAACTGCCTGTCTCCTCTGCTTCATACTTCATCTGCATATTTATCGACCATATTTCGAAGTAACTTCCAGAGCCTTTGATGAGTAATGGCACCGACCATTAATTTTGTTAACAAAAAGTTATTTATAAAACGAAGTAAATATAATTAGAGCATGAAAAATTATATTTTAAGATTTATAAGAATTTAAAGACCCTAATTGTATAGAAATATTGGACGAAGTGCGGTATTTTAAAACAAGATTTCGTTTTGACTCAATTAGTCTCCATTTAATATTTTATAATACACTAGAAACCCGAATGTAGAATATAGAGTTCGGCAAATAATAAGATAGTATTGAACTATAAACATAAAGAACTGAGAGAACTGATGTAAGAAAGTATATAAGTAGATGTATCTTATGAAAATTAATTTAGTTTAATTTGGCTGCTCATAGAGTACGATTTAGACAAAACATACTCTTATTGGTGAAGATACTTCAAGATGAATTTGTAAACAACACACTTATAATTTTGTTTATTTATGAACAAGAAGGCAATTAGTAAGGTGAAGATGTTATCACTGCAGCCAGAAATAATTTATAGCCCAATAATGAGGATCATATGGAAAAAAGCATTCGTTAATGTCAATGTTATTTATATATAGCAGTGTTCGATTCCAAAAAAAGATCTTCTAAAACAGTGAATGTAAATGTATGACATGTGTATGTATGTATGGAAAGTATAATGAATTTGAGATAGAATAGCGAAATCAGCATCTACATTATTAACTTACTCTCTTATATAAATTCATAATTTTTAATTTTTTTGGAAAGAGAGCTCAAGCATTTCAGTCGAAAACGACTATTGTTATACACTATAGTATAATGAGCGGTCATATAATAATTGTGACATACTTGTATACATATATATATGTCTCTGAACTAATTTTGATTTGAAACTGATTATTAATTATAAGATTATATAAATATAATAATTATATATATTATTATTTTTGCATTCAATTCAAGCTTTTATTAGCATAGCATAGTTTAATTCCATTTAGGTCAAATGTGCACAAGAACCCTCTATGAAGCACCCGGAGCTTCTGGCGACCTACTATCGATGTGTATAGCCTGACTTTGTGCTGATAGAAAACAATTTCTCTGCTATTGGCCAAAGCTGGCTGCTTCTGGGCGACTACCACCTTCAGTCGATTAAGTTTTGACAGAAGTGTCTGAACTGAGAGTGGCCGTACGAGAACAGATCATATTAGATGATTCCCTGCCAATCCTACCAAGTAGATAGCAAAACTTTCCTGACCGTCAATTCTGGCTTGGTCGGCCGTTGGTGGTGTTCAAGCGTCTCTCTCGTGCCTACTTTCCTATACTTTATGCATGTATCGTCGTTATTTATGCCCATCCGGCTCGGATGTGATGCCAGTAGGTTGTTATCTGCCATTAGGCTAATAACCGCCTGCAGCCCTTTAAGATGTAAGTAAAAGACGTGTTTTTCTTCATGTCTCTGGAACATGATCTCGGCGAGCCTACATGTCCATAAGGCCTCATCTGCGGCTAAGGGTAAGAATTTACCTGCGGTAATTTATGCCTGTCGTAAGAGGCAACTAAAAGCCAAATGCACTATGATTGTTATTTTACCTTGCATAGAAATATCAGCATAGTAATGATGTCAGAAATAGTGCTATAATACTCAGCTTGAACTGATATTATAGACTTTAAATGAGATTCCAAATAAAAAGACATTTAAAGTTCAAGCGACAAATGTCACCAGTCATTGAGTAATGGGTAGCTCAACTGGCAGTAGCTCCGGCTACACAGTCTTACCGGAGACTCAACTCTGGTACCACGGGGAGCAGAATTCCCTTGGACTTCGGTTCAATCTGCTCGTTGGGTTCGGCCCTTTGGGGCGTATCGTGGTGGCTGTGGTTTAGCCCTAATTGCTGAAAGAACTGAATTTTCAGTTCAAAAAAAGAAGTTGCACAAGCAACTGGGTTCCGTACCCGAAAACAGAAGAGGTTTAGGTCGGCCTCGAATTCTACCAAACTTCTACACACTGGCCACTGGTAACCAAATTAATACTTGCAAATAGCTCGTATTATTTGGGGCGCTTATCAACACATTGTTTTGATACGTTGTGCTTTGGATCACCGTAGGGTAAGGCCGTCGCCGGCAGGTACTCACGTAAAACACACCGGACGTTGTCCTTAAGGCAGTATCAGGACTGTAAACACTAGTCACATTTTCAGCAGCCTGGTTTGTTTTTTCGCCTTTGCTGGTGGTCATCTTTGACCCGTGAACAAACAATATTGAGTGAAACAGTTACAAATCTGTCTAAGAAGATTTTTTGTACGTTTGTAATAGTAGCTTCTTTAGGAAAAATAATATCTTTCCTCTCCTAGACCTTATATATGAGAGTTGCTGCGGTCAAATTAAGCTGTATTTACGGATTTTTATATTTTCATCTTTAGACTATTTTTGAGACAAATTTTGTAGCGAGCTTTTATAAACTTTCTAAATATTTGATTCTAGTTATTCTTTTTGGACGAGCGCAAATCAAAATACTCGATATGTAAAGTCTATCGTTTAAAATTATTTCATTACTTACTTCTCAGGACGTTATCGATATGTAAATTCCTAGAATTTTGAAGTAACTGTAAGTTTTTTGGTATACACCCCTCTTCATGAAAATAAATCTTCGTATTTTCGAAAGCTTAAGACACACAAGCTCCTTGAGTAAAATTTTGACAATCTTTTGCTGGTACTGTCTTAATTTATATAACATAGAATACATATTAAGCGTCGTGTACATTCTTAAAACAACAAAAACCGCTTTGTGCTAGTACTCTAATACTTTCTGGTAATAAAATATATCAATTTAAGCTTTAACAACTTGTTACGTGTACTTCATGATTCTACCTTATCACAAATGCCACAAACACTTGGTGAGCATCATAGCCTTAATTCAAATGCATTAACACCAAATTCACCACAAATAATGAGCCAAATGTTTCAGCCGGCAGAGAGAAATAGTTCAAAACAATTAAAATAAACTGAAAGAATAAACATTCGAAATTTATGAACTCCACACGTACGCGGCGAGACGAGTTGATTTCGGCCAAACAAACATGAACGCGAGTGTGAGTGTGAACGTGAGCAAAATGCACTTGATTTAGGCCGCAAAGCAGCAGCTATACTTTTCAAAGGAAGCTTCATAGAATTTTTGGTGGTTGCTGTTTGGATTTAAACATATGTATGTATGTACGTATATACGTATGTATGTGGCCACATTTTGTTTGCCTGAACATTGAACATGAACATTCCGCACGATAATTAATGCGCTGGCTATTTTAAAATCGAAAATTTGCTTATTTATATGGAGCAGCAATCATTTTCCACCGACGCATGCCATGTAAACATGGCAATATATTTGAATATGTACATATGTATGTATGTGTGTGTGAACATTTTTTGAAAGTGCAGGGCATACGAGTTTCAAATTTGAAAAAAAAATGTTTTAATATAATTTTGAAAAATAATAATTGTAAATAAAGAGAAAAAAAGCGCTAATTTAATTATCAGTTTCTGCAATTAACTACACTCGCGCGCAAAATTGCCACAAATCATTGCAAGCACTACTTTGTTTATATGCTCACTAATTTGCTGTGAATACAAAAAGCAAGTGACTCATGCGGCGCACAGCTGAGGCAGTGCCAAATAAAATTATGCTTCTTTATTTGCGCGTGGATTTCAAAAACTTTTTTTCAGCGAGCCAAAATTTTTTTTTCATGTTTTTTTTTTCTTTTTGTTTTTGAAATCAACAAACACCTTGAAAACTGAAAATTTCGACAATTTTTTTATTTTTGAACTATTGGCAATGACCGCGTCCACGCTTAAGATTGGAAAAGCGCCGATGCGTACATGTACATATTTATTTACCAAATATATATGTATATATGTACATATGTGATGCTCTTCGAAATCGTCCTTTTTATTTGAAACACTTTTTCAAACAGCAACGTTACTCATACGCCGTGTGTGCTTTTGTAGCAGTTATTATTATACAATATCAATGAAATTTTTTTTTTTTTTTAATTTTCTGTAAACAGCTGGTGCATTGGTTTTCAAGAAACACAACAGTTTCACATATTATAAAATTTTTATTTATTATTTCAATATTTTTAACCTGTTGGTATCTTACGCTTTGGTCACATGCGTATATTTGCATAGGCCAATACTATGTGTGTCAAGATACTTGAAATAAGAAAAAATAATAATTTCCGTTACAATTTTCTCGCTTTCTCCGAACCGCACGCAAGCAAAGCAAATAGCGAACTAAATGCGCGCGCCACGCTCAGCGTAGAATATTTTCTTTTTTTTTCAAAATCTCAAAGTACGAAATAAATTCATTGCATTATGTTTCGAACAGCGCCAGTATTACGCTTGTGTGTGTTTGTGAGCAACAGCACATACAATAACACACACACACACACGTGCATACAAGCACACAGAGAAATAAAAAGTTCATGCGTTTGGGAAGTCAGCGGAGCTTTAGCGGCAAAATGGGTTAAGCAAAAGAAAATCGCTGCTACTGGTTGGCGACAATAGCAATTGCCTCTTTGTCAGCTTGACAGGCGTAGCTACACACATAAATATAATGCTTAGAGAGACGGTTAGCGCTAAGTGTTTGTGCGTTTGCTCTGCATGTTCATTAGTCGTAAATGCGGTGACGAAAGCAGCGCTTGCTCTGCTCTGCTCTTAAAGCATTACGCGTCGATGCGTTTAAATTACTTTGCGGTATTGGCTGCAGTTCCTGAATGAAATACATCTCCATCCATACATAACTACATGCAAGTGCACATGGCAGTATGTATGTATGCGCGCTACTTTGTTGTAGGTAGTGCAAAGTTTTACCAAATCGCCATAGCGCTTACATACATACATTTACCCTCTACACATTGTAAACAAAATTTATTAGTTGGTAATTCTGTTTAACAATTTCGTTTAATAAAGTTCACAAACGTTTTTCTTACGCAGAAACAGTTTACAAAAAACACATTACTATATGTTCCTATCGGACTAGTCCATTTAAATCCATAAATATATATTCGTGTGAAGTTTACTTAATCACGAATACAAATTTTTGAGTGTCACAGAGCATTCAGTGAAGGGTCGCGAAGCTATCAACAACTTGCCTGATGAAAGTTGTTCATATACTTCTATTAATGTAGATAACCTCAAAAAAATTAAAGAACCATTGTTTGAAAATAATCGTCGTAACATCAGGCAGATAGCAGAGCATCTTAATATCTCATTGGAATCGATTCAACACAATTTGGTTAATGTTAGGCGTATGAAGCGTGTCAATGCTAAACTCGCACCAAAAGGCCGGAACCTTAAGCGAGTAGAGGTTGCAAAAAGATGCTAGACAACGTATCTGAGTTTGTTATATTCATCAAATACATCATTACTGGGGACGAGAACTAGTTTATAAATATGAGGTCGAGACTCTCCAACAATTTAGCGAATGACGCTCCAAAAATGAGCCCGAACCGCGAAAAACCAATCGCTGATGGCACTGAAACTAGAAGCGACCAATTTTACTCAAATAGAAATAGTATTAATCCTAAGCACCCCTAATTTGGCAGTCGATCGCACTGTCATTTTCGACGAATTATCAAGAATTATAGAAAGAAGTTTGAGCCATCTAAATGCCGGTCATATATTATATATTTGTTGTATATAGTTCTTCGTTACATCTATCACAGCCTTAACCGAAAAAATTGTGCGGTAAAAGCTTAGTGTAAACCCTACCCCTATCATTGTTTTAAAATATCCTCGAACAATCGAAAAGGGGTTTACTTAGCATGGAGTAATTGTATATAAGATATTCATAGAGACTGGTAACGAAATCAATGAATGAATAAATAAAATTTATACCGAACGCCAATTTTTGGAATAGTCTGAAAAAAGGCGAGTTAACACCACCTCAGCATTTGGTCCGCCAGATTACAGATTTCTGATGATCTTAAAGCACTTGGTCGATATATAAAAGTTTTGATACATCTTTTGATGTTTTTTCGTATTACAGGAAACTTATTTTCAGCTGTCCAAACGATCGAGATTACGGGGACCTACTTCAATATCCAATCTCAACTATTTTGAATCCTATAGCCTAATTAAAAAAAATTAATAAATAGCTAGAATCAATCTAAGTTTGCAATAAAATTTGGTTACGAAAATAAAACTGCTACATTAAAACACTAGTAAAAAATAAGTTTAATATTTATTATCATTCATACATTTTCAATATAAGTATACCCTGAAATATTTCTATCTACATAAATATATGCAAGTTTTTTTTTTCAAAACGAGTATTAATTATTAAGTTATTACATCTCCATCGTTATTTTGCCGCTTTCGATTTTATTTTGACATTTTCACATCGATTTCCATCAATCAAAAATTAAATAACGGTAACGCATAAAAGCTTTAAATAACTCAAATGAAAATACGCACCAGTCCGCTCGAATGCTTAGCTACAGAAGTGGTTCTGCAGTGTTGCAGGCTGCGCGACTGACTTCGGTAGAGCTGACTGCTGACTGTTTAGGGTAGATTGAGATTTATGTTAATATTTTAACACCGCAGGCAAGTGATACTAATGGATATCAACGAAATTGCCGAATATGCATATCAATATTTAATGTGCTCCAATTGAGTGGTAAGAAATTTATTTATTTATTTCTAACCAAATATTTTGAATGCTTTAATAGATTAATTAAAGTGCACACACTGTGCTTGAGTGGCACGCACCGTTCTTCAGCATTCCACAGCTGTTTATTTGTTTGGTTTCCTTTTAATTCCAGCAGTCCATATAAATTTTTAGATACAGTAGATTGAACGTAGAGTTCTTTTTTATTTTTGTGTGGATCACTTTTTATGAACGAAAACACCACGTTGCTTGAGTGTATTATTAATTCGTTCTATATCGGCAATGTCATATAATAATATCTAAAACTACATTATAACGAGTTAGTGATTGCTCGATAGTTAATTTTTAGGGGTACCCATGGCCATTAAGAAGATTTTTATATCAGAGTCTATTTTCTTTATGAGAGATTTTAATATGCACAAAAAATATATACTTTGGTTTTCCAAAAAAAAATTTTAAAATGCCATAACTTCTATTTTATGAAAACCTTTCCTATCTGAAATATATACCCTCCGTGGTTTGCCATTTCAGAGTGACATTATCTATAACAATATAAATTTTATTTCCTTTTTGGACAGATCTCGAACTCTTGATCTACTACCTAATTGTGGATTGCATCACGATTTGGATATTTCGATTTAAAATTAAATAGTTAAAAGAAAATATCAAATTCTAACGTAAACTGCTTCAAAAAATTTTAATATGCCAATAGTGGTACCAAAGTATTCTGTCACGTCCGATGTTAACCCATCCTTATCTGATTTCTTATTAATACGCTTTGTTTGCTTCCATGCATCGCATAATTATAACGAGCATGCCAGTAGCATTCTTTAAGCTAAAACAATAATGCGGATCGTGATGATTTGTGATCGGATTCCAAGTGAACTTTGAAATGACGTTATACAAATTTGTGAAGGGCTAAGATGCACTTGCGCAAACGTGATAGTATTATAAATAAATCAAAAATAACTAATTGATGACACTAGTGGCTAAGTTTTTAATAAGAATTTATGAAGCAATCAGAAGAACGAAAAAATTGTTTGTTGCTATATAAAGAGCTAATCGGTAATCGGGTTCTAAGAGTGCATACATACATTCACTTTATAGGTAAAGTCATACATACCCAATTCGTTATTATAAATCCTGATTCACAATATAAAAAAAAAGTAAGATTTTGCACAGCAAAAATTAAGTTGACTTAGCACTATATATAGCACTCAAATAAGTATTTTCTAATCCTAACAGGGATCTCACTTGGGCAGCTTAGAAATAGATCATAGGACCCTAGAAAAGTGGAGTAACCTGGATGTTTTCACCTCACCTTTCTCCATACAACTTGGGCAACTTGCGTCTGACTTACAGGAGTTCTATTTCTGGCTCCACAAAGGGCTATTTGAATTACGTGATCGGGGAAAATATTATAGCACATCAAATACAAATCGTTTCTCCCGATTAATTGAGATCTGTTATACCAAAGTGTTGGAGTTTTCAAAACACAATTGAGTCGGAAACACTTTCCTCACATAACTAACGACTTCTCAAAAGATTATAATCAATTAATTTCGTTTCCCTCCTAGTCTCATTTCACGCAGAGTTAAAAATTATTATTGTGTTTGCGATAGGTACAATATTTGCTTTACTTTGGAAGCACCTGAAACTCTTTAATCCAACCACTTGGTTATTGATATTCTTTTGAAGGCTCTCATAAAATCTATATTGCAAAGAGTAAACGTGAGCAGGGTGAGCAGTAATATCAGCTCATCAACTAGAAAATGCTCAAATACTACGCACACAATAAAAGTTATTTTTTCAAAATCACTTTTTAGTTTCGAAAAATTTTGTAATTTGAAAAGTACTCTAGAAGCTTTCAATTTTTCTCATTACGCACTGAAAAAAGAATATTGCCCACGCTTGGTGGCACACACTCATGCGCAGCAAATCAATCTTGCTCCCGCGACACACTCTATTTTCAACGCCCACTACCTAAGATCATTCACGCCTCTTACGCTAATTGCGTGTTCTTTTGCTCTGCCTGATCGGCTGCTGAATACTTGAATGCCTCTGCACTTTTGTGATTCGTCGCACTTATGTTGATTCGATTCACATTAGAAATATAACTAAAGGCTTTTGATTGCCGCCAAACAACCACTTAATGCTTACCGCTTTGTAGTATTACATTAAAACCAATTTTCCGGGGTGGATTGAAACTTAGATCATATGAACAGCAGTTACTATCGCGTGATTTAACCATTCACTTAAAAGCTTATTTTCATATCACCAAATGTTATATTATGTAAAGGGTTTTCCAATAAGAGTGATATAATTCAAAAAATAAAACAAACACAATAATTGTTAAGAAAATTCAAATGCTTTTTATTGAATATAAAGTACAATCGATACAATGCAGTTCTGATTATATTATTATTCAAATGGCCTCCGGCTTCTTTTGCAGGAACGAATTTGATGAACCCAATTTTCGAGTACTTTTTCCTTTAAATCAAGTCATATGTCATGAATAGCACGTTCAATATTGACTTCTAAAGCTTGAAGAGAGTCTGGTTTATTGCTAAAGACCAATGACTTCAAATAACCCCACAAGAATGGTTTAATTGCGTTACATTACAACTTCATGGCGGCCATTCAGTGTCACAATGTTTAGAAATTATCGTATCTACAAAATATTTTTCGCAATTATTCGTTACTGCACGTGCTGCGCGGCACGTAACTTCATCTTGTTGGAACCAGATGTTGTCAAGATCAACTTCTTCCAATTGCGGCCATAAAAAGTTGTTTCTCATTGATCTATACCGAAATATATTTCGAAAGAAGTACGGACCGATGATTCTATCGGACCCAAAACCCCACCAAACTGTCAATTTTGGTGAATGTAATGGTTGTTTATGAATAATTTGTGGCTTTTCTTCCTACCAGAATCGACAGTGTTGCGTATTTACCGTACCACTCAGATGAAAGAGAGCCCCATCGGAGAAGATGATTTTCTTAAAAAAATTGCAATTGGAAAACGATTATTTTGATAATAAAATTTAATATTTGTAAACGTTGTTCTTGCGTATATCTTTCCACGATGAAATTGTAAACATTACTGAGTACAATGATGAGTACAGAACGGCCTAAACGACACTTACAAATCATATCATCCCTATTGGAAAACCCGTTATATGCATATGTTAAGCACATTAGGGTGGTATTGAGTAAAAATCCAACACATGATCTTTCAATGATACTATGTAATTCGATTCGATACATCTGATATAATTATAGTCATCCTGCTTTTACGAATGATTCTTTTAAAGTTCTGTCCTTAAAATGGGATAAGTGCTCGTAAGTCCTCTGTGAGCCTCCACACTAGTTATTTCATTCACTTTTTAATACCTGTCACTGACGTCATATTAGAAAATGGCAAAGTATCTAATTATGACGTGTCATATAGAACATTATTCTAATAATAGAAGACAATATTAATTGATAGTAAAAATAGTGATAATAAAATATCGATAAATAAAATACAGATATCAAATATATCGATTATATAAATAGTTAAAACAAAATTTCAAAATTCTTATTTTAATTAATTTGAAGATATTTTGGATGCAAAACCTAAAATTGCTTTATCCATTTTGAATATACAAGTCAGAGGTGCTGGTGAATCTCAGAAAGATTTGCGTAGTTGTCAGAATTGCAAACCAGTTCTAATTTTCAATAGTGTGACAGAATCTGATTGGATTCTGGCCTTTTCGAACATACGCAAAACCAATATTCGAATCAGCTGTTTATTTATGTGACAAAACTTGAAACGAATAAATTTGGAAGCGTTGGATAAATTTTGAATACTGAATAAAGTCTACCTATGTTTACAATGACCAGTTCCTCTATTTTCGCTTTTATTTTATTGGAAGAAAAAACCAACGAAAAAATTAAAAGAAAGATATTAAAAGATAACAGTTATCTACTTGATGCACCAGGGGAATCGCATGTGAATTCTGGCTTGCATTTACTTGTATACTTGTATATGCACATCGACTGAATAAGAACACATTTGGGTGTAAATTACGTTTATTACGTTTAGTAAATCCTCTTAAAATATCTGGATTTTTTCCATAAACTCAATAATTGTGACATTTTGTGTTTTATTCTCTGTTTTCCACTATAGAAATAAAGATAAATTAAATCGTAATAGTAAAAACCAATTTCTTAACTTACATTTCAAATCGGTCAGTTACTATCCTCTATTCCTATTTCTGATAAAAAAAAGCGATAAAATTGGTTTCCGTGACACCCGAAATCGATACAGTTTCCGTTTCGAACGGCAAGGCAATAATATCTGAATTCATGACACCTACTACATTTTTTTATCGATTTCAATTCTGATTCCGACAACTATCAGATTCTACAAGACCATATTTCATCCAACACTACAGTTACATTAAACTAAAGTAAGTGGGCGAGAATAAGCTACAAGATTTAAAGCTTTCAGAAAAAAATCAATGAAAGTAAATCCGAAAAAGTAATTGAATTAAAAACACTTATTACTTTTCTTAATACTTTTTATTTAATATAATATTTATATTTATTTGGATTGTTGTTGTTGTTTTTATACACTTTACTTTGCGTTTTGTTATTTTTCATTATGTTAAATTCTTCTGCAAATATCTTCAAATTATACATATAAACGTATATATATATTATATTTTTTATTGTTGTTGTTTAGGATAGTATGTACTAATATGATAAAGGATATAGTATACAATAGAGATGATACAAATACAGTTAGAATTTTATATAATTTTCTCTGCATGATCAATATATTTGTTTGATTTTGTTGTTGTTGTTTTTTTTTCAGTTCTATATTAAATAAGTAAACAAGTTTTCTTTAGCAATAAAAATTATATTAAAACAGCAGCAAAAACTTAAATACCAACTAAGATGCACACATGTACAAATGTGGTTAGAGAAAAATATCTATGTACATATATGTATGCAAGAGTTAAAAACAAAAAACGTTTACATTAAATTATAATAATAAATAGAACAACTTTTCAAGCTGAAGCTGCAGACGCAGCTGTTAATTGGGCGGTCCAAGGACCAAACGGAAGCCATCAAATGCATACATTCGTTAAATTCGGTGCACAAGTCACACTGCAGAAGTATTCTTTCCGATAAAGCTTATCTGCTTTGGGTTTTCTGTCGTTCAACGAGTCGCTTGTAACGCAAAAAAAAATCACAAAAATTTGGCGAAATCAAAATCGAAATTAGGGGCTGTGCACACTTTACCACTTTTCTCGCTTATATAACATAATAATTCTTCCTCAGTTCCGATAGTTTTTTGTTTTAGTTTTTTTTTTACATTTTTTTTTCTCTATGTTTGATACCGCTTACGTGTTTAAAGTAAATTTCAAAGTAAAAAAGCGCAAAATACGATATTCAAGGCATTTCATTAGCAGCAATCGAAAGTTAATTATATGAAAAAATTACATACACACGTATTGCATTACGAATCTTTACATTCCTTTACAACATACCGTAAAAAACGATAATAGTTTTTAATTACGAGCATAGCTATATGCATATATGTGTGTGTATGTGGCTTGTGCATGTACACATGTCTCATTTGTTTATTTGTTGTTTTTTTGCATTTTCTTTTGAATTATACATGCCTCAATTATATTGAATGTAATTATTTAATGATTACAACGCCGTTTACTTGTTAATGAGATAGCTGATTTATCATACAATAGGAGTATGTGTTTGCTGCATGATTATTATTATTTTTTTTTTTGCAATTTGCTTTATGCTTTTTGTTATTCATACTTTTGCTGCACACATAGCGGCGCCTATAGCAATACTTTTCTGAATTTGAGCTAATTTTTTGTAATACGTTAATTATGTTTCCTTAGGCTGCGCAATCGAGCGGTGAGCGTGGCACGTCTTTGAAGTTCCCAAGCGTTCAGAGCATACGGATGCATTTCGGAAATATGCGTTTTCAAACAGTAATGAGACGACTTGTACGTATGTATGCATGTATGTATGTGTGTCAGTATAAATAGTTGTTGCACATACTACGCATATGTCATTTTCATACACATTTTATTTTTCTTTTTCGATTTCATATCATCATATTTATTTATATTTATTTATATATATATATGTACGTTTGTATGTTGAGTACGTTTATTGCATTACATTTTACATAGTTAAATTAGAGCTTTCTCTCATTGAGTTTAAATTAGAAACGAAAAATTAAATATTGATTTATTTGCTTATTTAAATGTATGTATGTATGTATTTATGTATAGTTGATTAGCAACTAAGGAAATACTAGAGGCATTTCATCGCGACGCCTGCCATCCAAATACACTTATTCTCCTTCACGTAATATCACTTTAGGCACATACATATGCACACGCACGCATTATACGCCGTTACTTATACATATGCGATACTCTCACGGTTGCATTTCGTTTTTGCATTGCATTGCGCTTAACTATTTGCTTTTCGCTTCCAAAGCTTGCTGTTGTCTCTACCAGCAACAATTTTAGATTTACATTTGCTCGCACTTCTTGATTGTACCGTTAACGTTGAATTCAAATTCCAACGAATGATTCTCACTTATTCTCGTTTTGCCAAAAATTTGCAGGCGTTTCTATACTTTTCAACCTAAACTAGTAGAAATCAGTTCGAAAACTATGCATTCAAAAATAGCATACATTTTTTTTTTTTTTTGTAATTTTCTTTGCAGGGCATGTCTTTCAATGTGTGTGTGTGGGTTTATAGGTAGCTGGATTCGATCTTTATCGCACCCGTGGTATTGTTCTGAAAAGATTTGAAAGATATAAACTATTTATTAAAAAATAAAATATATAAAATGCACTCACCTTGGCGATTGCACTCGTCGCTTGGGTGTATTCGGCGCTGTCACAACCGCCCGGCTGGTGGGCGTACGCGCACGCGCAGCACTAGCACCAACGCCAGCACTTGTCGCTGCTGCTACCGTTGCGGTTGCTCCGCCAATTCCGGCTGTCATGCTGTATCGCTTCGGTGGCACAATGCGACTGGGCGAACGTGTTGTCTTGCCATCCGCTTCTTGTGTGCTTATTCTAGTAATTTGTGGAGATATACTTAGTTTAGTGGTTTTCATCTTTTCTAACGGTTTCAAAACAGTTTTCGTGTTGCAATTAGCATTTCTAGCTCTATAGGCCACACATGCAAAGATTTTTTTGTTTTTTTGACAAATATGTTTGTTTGTATATATGTACATATGTATATACATATGTGTTGGGACAAAAATACAGGTGCGGTACATATAATATAGACAATATAAATTTGTACATTTTGCCGAAAGTAAGGTGGATAATATTTTAACGGGTTTCATGAAAATAAATAATTAGAAGAAAAACGAGAAACAAATTAGAATAAAAATTTCATACAAAATTTCATTACGAACTTCTTTGATCGTGTGTATTTTTTTTTTAAAGAAGATGAAGATGATTATAGAATCTGAGGTTCAAATATCGTAATTAATAAAATCCTCTAGTTTTGCTAATATTTTTACCACTACTAAAACAATTGATTCTATTCACACAAGTACTACTTTCCTAAATACCTACAATATCTTCCTGGAACTACTTTTCCTTCTATTTTTACTACTACTAATACGTTTACTAACACTACTTTTGTTATTATTAATCCTGCTATTTCTACACCCAATCCTCCTACTTTTATTACATCTACTCCTAATATTGCTATTGTTTCTACTACTACTTTACTAAAAATTCTACTACTATACTATTACATAATTCTGCATTCTAAGAATACTATTACTATTAATATAACTTTCGGTACTAATTCTAATACTCTTTTTATCCTACTATAACTTCTATTAGTACGACTTAAATCGTATTATAACTTTTTATTTTGAGCAAGACCATCTAATTTCCACATACAATCTGTGGTCTAAATCGAACACATTTCACATTTTTGTTTCAATCCATTCCATTTGCGATATCGTCAAATAAATGTTTTCGATCATAAAAAATAAAAGATCACAAAAGATACTTCTATCACTAAAACTCATCAGAAGGTTAAAAAAATAGGAAAATAAATTAATGGTAATTAAATTTTGCCCATTTTGACGAATACAAATTTTTACTGCAGTTTTTGAAAAAAAAAATTAAAATTAAAAAATATTTTATTTTTTTTTTATGAAAAAATAAATGAAATTATTGATTTTATTTTAAAAACTAATCAATTTCGCGCGTTTTGCATAAGAAATCGATTTTTGAAGTTATTTCTGAATAAGTCGAAAATCATATTTTTTTTAAGCAAACAGTAAAGAATCAATATATTTTGGTAAGGAGGTTAAAATCTCCCGCTTTTTTTTCATGGAAATCCGAATGTTTTGTAAAAAAGTACGATTTGTGGAGTTATTTCAAATTATTTGCAAAATCGCTTTTTTTTAAACAAAAGTTATAATTATGTATATACAAAAATTTGCTAATTTCTTAAAAAACAAGTTAACTTCGCGGGAAATGTTCAAAAACCGTAAAAACTTATAGAAAGTTTTTAATCGATCATAATTTTCGAAATAACGTGGAAATCGGATCGGCTGATTTCGGAATAATTTTTGATCTAAGCCAGTGCTATTATATTAGGTCAAGTAAAAAGTTCGTTCGGTTTTTATTTAAGAGATGGCGTTATTGTCCATAGTACTAGTGTTACGTGTCGCATCATGTCATACTATACGGCACTGAAAACGTGTTTATTCGCTCTAAAAGTTTGTCCTTGACAGTTTTTCGATTGATTGACTTAGTACGTTGTGAGCGTTCGTCAAAGATGGACACCAACAAAGAGAAAATTCGCTATATTTTACAATTTTTCTTCGATCAGAGCGAAAAAGTAGCCAAAGCGGCTGAAAAAATTTAATTTAGTTAAGGGCCCGATACTGTAAACGAACGTGTAGCACAAAAGTGATTTGCTAGGTTCCGTTCCGGTAATTTCGATGTCAAAGATGCACCACGCGTCGAGAGGCCTGTCGTCGAAAATTGCGATAAAATCATGAAACTAGTGGAAACAGACCGTCACGTGAGCACTTATTTAATTGCTGAGGAACTAAAGATAAGCCAGAAAACCGTTTGGAACCATTTACATAACCTTGGATTCAAAAAGGAGCTCGATGTTTGGGTGCCACACGAACTAACGCAAAAAACCTGATGGACCGAATTTCCATCTGCAAATCGCTGCAGAATCACAACCAAATCGACCCGTTTCTGAAGCGGATTGTGACTGGCGATGAAAAATGGGTCACTGATGACAACATCGAGCGCAAACGGTCGTGGTTAAAGCTCGGGGAAGCGGCCCAGATGGTGGCCAGGAAGGTTTTGCTGTGTGTTTGGTGGGATGGGCAAGGAATCATCTACTGCGAGCTGCTCCCCTATGGCCAAACGCTCAATTCGGCCTTCTACTGCCAACAACTCGACCGCTTGAAGGCAGCACTCATCCAGAAGAGGCCATCTTTGATCAACAGAGGCCGAATTGTGTTCCATCAGGACAACGCCAGGCCACACACGTCTTTGGTGACTCGCCAGAAGCTCCTGGAGCTCGGATGGGAGGTTCTAATGCACCCACCTTATAGTCCGGACCTGGCACCAAGTGATTACCATCTTTTCCTGTCCATGGCGAACGCGCTTAATGGTGAGGAGTTGGCCTCAAGAGAGGCCTGTGAAAATTGGCTCTCCGATTTTTTTGGCAATAGGGACGCAGTCTTCTACGAGAGGGGTATAATGAAGTTGGCATCTCGTTGGCGACAAGTTTACGAACAAAACGGCGATATTTGACTTAAATCGGACAAATGTACACAAAGTTATCATCTTTTGAAAAATCAATAAAAAACCGAACGAACTTTTTACTTTACCTAATATAATATGGCTTATACTTTTATAAAGAGAAGTAAAAAATAATAGTTTGAATTAAATAGTTTCGACTTCGAAAAACAAAAACAATTATTTCTGCTCCACAAATACTTAAATATTCTTGACAAATAACTTTGAAAACGAGTTAAAAAGAAACCACGAAAACTCATTGATAAACGAAAGAGAGCAATAAAAAAGACTTAGATAGAACGTCCAAAGGACACCACCAACACATTTCAAATTAACAATCAAACTACACGTATTGGAAAGTAGTAAAAAGTTAGAAAAATACTTTTTTGGATGCACTACAGTTTCGAAAACAAAAGTCGAAACAAATCTACACACTACTTCGAAATTCAACTAGCTACTTGTACTCACTTTCCCGCTGGATAGCTGACTGGCCGCGGTATACGCGACTTGTGCGTTGCATTCGCTGCTGCTGCCGCCGCCGCCGCCGTCGCAGATGCTGCCGTGGCGGTCGGTGTCGAGCCACCGCTCTTCGTCTCTTGTGCGCTAGCCAAATCCTTCAACATTGTCGAGTCTTTGCTCATCAGTTCCCATTGTATTTGCAAACGCTTGAAGCGATTGCTCTCAATCTTACGTTTCTCTTGCTCGTCGAGTGCGGCCAAACGCTTGGCCGTTTGATGCTGCTCCATTTGGGAGAAGCGACGCGATGCTGGCTCTCTGCTGCGCATGCCGGCTACCGAGATGTTCGGTGAGTTTGGTGGTGTTGTAAAGCGTTGACGTGCTTCTGGTGCAAGCGACGGTTGTTGTTGTTGCATTTGTTGCTGTTGTTGTTGCACAATCAGATCAACGTCTTGCTCGTTCTCTGTGAGTGTGTGTATGTCATTGAAGGATACCTTCTTTTGCTGACTGAGCGCACGACTCACTTCTTTCTTCAATGCCGCTGGATCGTAGGCGACCTGGTATTCGGTTGATGACTCCAATATGGCCGCTATTTCAGCATAACACTTTAGCTCGGAACGCGGTAGCGATGAGAGGAAACGCATACGCGCATCCAAATCTTTGCGTGATAGACGCTCTTGACGCGGCTGCGGCACTGCATATAGTTCAGCCTCCTCTTCGAATACTTCACCCAGCTCTTCGGACGAACCGACTACATGATGATACGGTGGCTCTTGTAGACTGCGACGTTTCTCTTGCTTCGACAGTTTCGATTGCTGACCTTCAATCATAGAATTGCGCTTCATGCGATTCGCCGAATGTGAAGATGATTTGCGTAAGATGCCGCGTGGCATGGGTTGTGGCGGTGTTTTGCCAATCGCCGGACTCATTTCAACACCTGAGTCCATGCGTTGTTGTTCATACTGATATATGTACATTTGTTTCAATGGGTCCGCGTTCTCGAGATCAGCAGAGTCGGCCAGCAGAGTGGACGAACCGCGATAACCTGAACTGGGTTGTTGACTAGAGGCAGAGCTCGAGGAACCTTCCTCGCCAGTTTGTAGCTGTGTCGTATGTTGCTGTTGGAAGTACTGCGCACAATCACATATATGTGGTCGATTACGGCGTATGGGTGGAGTCATGCAGAAGAGCGGGCGCTGCGATAGTTCGGCGTCCAATTCTGGCAGCAAACTATTCACCTCAGGAATGTGTTTTAAGCGACGACGATAGTCCGCCGGCAAAAGAGTAGTTAGCGACTGCCAATCCACTACATGCTTGTAGTCCATGGCTTTGAGTATCTCATCGTCATTGCTATTTAAGTTGACGCGTTTCTTTAGCGACGCCATCGAAGCCGAATCGTCATTGCTGCCAACAGCCATTTTGTAATTGAACGGCGAGAAGATCACATCTGCCGTTGAATTGGTCTTTACGAAACCCAAATCGGGCAGCGCGTAATTGGGATAGATGACATAAATTGGCGCCTGTCGCTCTTCACCCAAATTATTGAGCTTCGCCAAGAAGGAAGGTGGTACGAATCGAAAACGATCACTCATACTGCTACGCGTACTCAAAGAGCCACACGAAGTTTGCATTGAGCGTGAAATCAACTCCGAACTTGAAGCCGCCGACACTGTGGGTTGTGCGCCTTCACAACGCGATCTTTGACGCTCCAATGTGGTTGATGAAGTACCAGTCGAGACATAGACCTGTGTAAGTTGTTCGGAATTGCTGCGACTATTCTCTGACGACTGCAGGCTGCATGCCGTACCGACGTCCTTATGTTGAGTCACCAGTTGGCACAATTGAGGATGGCGCGGCGGCATACTTCTACGTCGATGCGCAGGCGAATTGGTGGCTGTCAAAGAGCCACTTGAGCTTGAGCTAGGGTCTTCATCGTAGAAAACGGCATCGTTACGTATACGCAAGTGGCGTCGCGTGGGCGTGGGATGACCGGCATGGCCATGATGTGGCTCGGCCTGAAATGCAGACTCGCATGTGTCACGCACTTGCGCACACAGTTGCTCCTCATCCTCGTCGTGTCGGCTGAGCGCCGAACCCTTACCCGAATCATTCATGCTCTTCTTGCGTAGACGCTGTTCTAACGATGAGCTGCTACTCGAGCCAGCCGCATCACTTGACGGCCAACAACCCGACGACACATCCATGCAAGTGTGTGTGCTCATCTGTTGTTCGTCCGTGGCGGAATTATTGCTCTTTTGTTTGATGAATAGTTTGACTAGATTGAAGGCGGGTGGATTCGAGCTACCTGACGAAGCGGAGCCCGAAATGGGCGCAAGTTTTAGCGCGGCGGGGCAAGTGTGACTATTTGGAGCGGCACCGGTTGCGGCAGCCGTAACGGTATTCGATGACTGGCAGGAGCAGCGATGTTTGTGACGTTGCTGAGAGGCATTTTGCTGTTGCTGATGTTGTTGTTGCAATTGTTGCAGTGTCTCCTGCTGCTGCTGCTGCTGGTGATGATGATGATGCGTTTGCAATTGCTCGGCCGCATTTAGACGCTCCGACGTAATGGAGGCGATTATGGAATTAGAAGAGATTGGCATCTGGCACATGGGAAGCAAATTACGCGACGTCTTGCAACACTCCATATTGGAGGTGCTAACCGCCTGTGACACATTCAGCTGTTGTTGTTGTGAATGATGTGTTTGTTGTTGTATATCCGCAATACCGCTGCAAACCATTGCAGTTGGATCTTTGTGCTCGCGCAGATTTGGTACGCTGCGACTTTTGCGCACCGTGCAATTGGATGTGTGTTGTATTTGTTGCACAAAGATGTTATTGGTGGCGGTGTTGTTGTTGCCTGACGGATATCTGCAAATGAGTAGTTGTAATTAGTCAACATACAATGTTATTGTAGAAAAACTCAAAATCTGTCAAAACTCTTCGTATAACGTTAGTTTCTCGGTCCGTGCTGAACGAAAGAAGAGCACTTTGTTGCAAACTACCCTACAACTGCAGTAGTAGAAATTTTTTTCCGCAAATCGCATATAGTTTGCATAAATATTATGATCGTTCGCTTCCTCTCTGACACCACCTCCTAATCAATATAATATTTTTCGCTCTGCATATGTTCCACAAGCCTATTTCCTCTGTCATACACTTGTTTACACACACATACATGTATGCACAAATGCACAGTCAATCCGCATGAGTAATGAATTTAAATTGAACTCAATTGAATTGACCCCACCAACCGTTCGCTCGTTCAACTCAACAAGCTGTCGGCTGTTTCAACGCTTACTTTCCATACTTTTCCCTACTTTATTTTGTATATTCGTCGTCCGGCTATGAGCGCTTACATATATGTATACACATTTACAAACACATGTATGTATTGCAAAAATATGAGGTCTGACGTCTATATTCTTATTTGTTATCGCATGTGGAACGAGAATTTTGAACAGCACACTTATTATTCATCATATTTGTGCATTTGTTTATATACATATATGTATTTACATATAGTAGTTGAACTATATACTACTTGTCTGTGTATACGTCGGTATGCAACCTGTTGACAAAGTTAAACCACAAATGTGTAAAAAAAAAAAAAGTATATGTTCCACTAGACCCGGTTAGGTTCACTCTTACTGCCTGAAATCAGAATCTTAAATATTAAGACTGATCTGAGGATAGGTTATACAATGATCTCACAACTAGGCTTCATGGGCTTCGAATGTCTAAAACGTCTCAAAATTTGTGAATGACAATAAAATTAACAGACCCGAAATTTTTTTGTGTAAATATTCGATAATGGGATCAGGGTTGCGAATTTTTTTAATACAAAATTAAATATTTAATCCAAAATGTTCGGATTGAATGAAAATTTGTTTTAAAAATTTTGATTTAAAAATTTAATATTAATCCCTAAATTGGAATTTAAAATTGAAAATCTAATTTTTAATCCAAATTGTTGGGATTTCACTTGCAAAAACGGAATTAAAAATTTAAATTTTTATTGCTATCAAAATCAAAAATTAATAAAATATAAATCGTTTAAATGTGCAGATTTGCCGACCACTGCTCTAGAGTATTGAATCTGATAGGTCTGTGTTCAAAATGGTAGAACCACGTAGTACTCAAGCGCGAACATATATAAATTCAAAAACAATTTTTTTAATTCAATTCTTTTTCACTGCAATATTTTCACCTCTAAAGGAGAAACACTCTGTGAATATATTGTACATTATGCTGTATACATGGAACGAATCTTAACGATTTTGCTGCCCTACTTCACGAATATTAATAATACTATTTTATATATATTTGTATATGGTATATTATATTTACTTGACAAAATGTTTCTGTGGATTGTAAATGTGTAATACAAGTACTTGTGCAGTTCTCTTGCTATTCGAAACCTATACTATATGTATTTCTATATTCTTAAGAAACTGTAATACCGTTACCGAAACATATATGAGAGGGGTTGGGGAAGGTAACGCGACTTTTCCATTTTAACACAAGCATTTTTTTCATCAATATTATTCTTGTTAAATGTATTGCTCTTCATTCTCAAATCATCAAGCACTACCTACATTCACTTTTTTGTAAAGTCTTGAGTTCTTCCAACGTAACTGTTGGAATGGTAGCATATCTCTGTTACTCAAAAATTATGTATAGAGACTTAAACCAGCGAATACGGTGTCTAAATAATAGCTGAGATGGCTCACGCCAAAGCAAATTGCATAAGAGTGCTTATCTTCTGTTAAAAGAACTTGTAAATGCTGTTGTTTTTTCTTTACTTGGAAGGGTTAGGTTAGGTTAGAAGGTCGATCCCAAAAAGGATCCCACTTGGACAGCTTAAGACGCCGGTCCGTTGTGATACCTACAAAACTCCTATAATCTGGATCAAAAGACCCTTACAAGTCGACAAGACGCTTTGTGCTTACTACAAACCCAAATACCTTACGCACCTTTGTAATTGTGTTGTGTTGCTCTTTTGTAGCTTGCTGCGCACACTGGCGGCCTGCTCCGAGCGTGACATGGAAACGTCCAAAGCTTTGCGCTTGACAATATCCTCGAGATTGCTATGCAAATTAATGAAATTATGTGTATTTCTTGCGGTGACATCTGATGGCTCAGCTATAAACAGAAGAGATTGCATTAGAAAAACGAACCTAAGGACAATTTCAAGCGACCAGCATCAACTCACCATAGAAACTCTCATCCGAGTACAGTACGCTGCCCTCAAAAGCGATTGTGTAATTGTCCTTATTCGCTTTACACGTCAAGATTATGTCCTCATTTTCCGGATATGCGTCCATATCAAGCGAATCGGCGGACAAGTGCGACTCTTTGACCGGCGAGAAGAGCAATTCCGATTTACAAATGGAATTATCGATAAGCTCATTATTAGAGGTGAGCGAAGTTTGTGATAAATGGTTAATACCACCACCAACAACGCCACCAACGCCATGTTCTTGCGCATTTACGGCCAATGCATTCTGTTGCAACAAAAACGATTGTTGTAACCGATTGCTGTTACTCATATTCTTGCAATACGACGGCATATGCAGTAAGATGTCTTCGGCACGAAAGCTTTCCATATCAACTTCGGCAAGATTAGCGTCGAGTTTTTTAGAGAAGTCATTGTAGAAGATTATGTCGCCACTGTAGGAGCCCGATAGCGATGAGAATATGCTGCGCTGCAGTCCAGTGCCGCAGCCATCCCGATAGTCGCAATCTAGTAGCCACTGATAATCGGAATTGTCATGAGTGAAATCGTGTGAAGAAGCAATCGAATAATTTAAATTGTTGGCGGCAACATTGTTGCCAAAGTAGACACCACCACCATTAATATTATTACTAACACTACTACCACCACCACCACCACCAACACCACCACAAGCTGTTGCCGCAGCCGCAGCCGCCGCGTTGACGAAACCTACCAAATGCTGATGCTGCTGCAGCATATTGCTATCGAGCGGCATGCTGTGACGCGAACCAGGCGTTGTTGCATTACTATTGTAATCCGATTCCGGCGTTGCTGGCGCAGCCATTGTATTGCCACAATTCAACAGAAAATTATTGTTCGCACCCAAACTCTCCACCAACAAGCTGTCGTCGATCAGCACACTGCTCTGCCCGCTCACTTGCTCATTCAATATGATGCTGCGCAGCGCGTTGTTGTAACGATCCAAATTGTTCAATACTATTGCAACATTCTGTTTGAGACTCTCCTCGCTCAGTTCGTCGTCGGCGTCCTTGGCGCTGAGCAGTTGTTGCTGATGCTTTTGCAAGTGTTGTTGTTGCAGCAGCAAATCATTCAAATGCTGCTGATATTGCGTCTGCGTCAGAAGCGGCAACGTTTTGCTGCTACGCAAATGTTGTTGCAATTGATGTTGCTGTGCCGTGGCAGCTGTGACGCTGCTCCTTTGCTGCTGCTGGGGCTGCTGCTGTTGTCGCTGTTGTGGTTCGCGTTCGCGTTCACGCTCGTTTTCGCCGTAGTTGTTGTAGGCGAAAGCAAATGGCGAATTATTCGGACTATTCAATGGATTCTTATAATGCAATGGCGATTGTGCCGTCGATGTGGGTGATGATGGATTATTTGTTTTTGTGATGTTACTATTAATATGTGATGTTTTTGTAAATGTATTTGCAGAAGAATTTAAAGGAAGCGTTTGCAGATTATTTTTATTATTATGCGTCTGCTTGAGAGCGTAGGTAAAATGTGAATTTATGTTATTGGCGTAATGTTGTGGGGAATTAGGATGTGGTTGTTGTTTTTGTTGTGATTGTTGTGAAAAATTTGGTTGATGTTGATGATACTGTTTCGTTTGAGAGTAAGCGTAATGACGTGGTGAATTTTGAAGCGGTTGTGATAGATGTGATTTGTTGTTGATATCGTTGTTTGTTGAGAATTCTGTCATGCCACGACGGAATTTTTGTCCTGCAACAAAGAGAGGTAGAGAATTTACTTATTTATGAGCATGAAATTAGTAAATATTACTATTTATTTATTTATAATTTCGATGAATATAATGCTGGATATAACGGTAGTTTACCAGTTAATTTAATATTATAAAAATATAGCAAAGTATAAATTGTAGAGAATAAAAACGTATTTCTTTTCCAGCTGGTATTCTACGGGGTAAATGTGTGTGTGATTTTAAATCTATATCCAAATAGTTTTTGAGTTACAGCTTTTTAAAGTTTAGCCGTTCAATTCAATCAACTCATCAGTTTATCTTTAAACGCATTTTTCTCAAAACTACAACTTTCCAATTTGCTTCAGGAATTGCTCGGAGACAAATGACCTAATGACTATTAATTGTTTCCTCATGTTCTTTCTATAGTTCTCCATACAATGTCCTACTAGTATTTTGGCCTACTGCAAAAACGAATTTTGGCAGGTCAAAAACGACAAAGTTTTTGCGTAAAATTCAACTTTTACAAAATGTTTGTAAATTTTTGATTTTTTTCGACTGTAGGTCATTGTATCATAATCATATCATATTTTCTAATCGAGATTTTTTTTTAGGTTTCATCTTACGGAGAAGGCCGGAAACACCGCAGCAGTGGGGAACGTTTTTAGCGCACAATTTGTAGAACAATGCATTTTATTTAGAAATTTACAAAAAAAAAACATAAATTTGAGAAGAATATAATAAATATTGAATTCAGAATTTATTAGGCCGCCATAGTGGAAAAAAAGTTGTAAATAAAATTTTCGATGAAAACCAGGTTGAGTGCTACAATTAATGACTGTTTATTCCAGCAAGAAGCGGGAATGCGAAAGTGCTTAGAAGGTATTAAAATTTTTAAAATATATTGATCGTTATTACTATTTTAAAAGGACTACAGATGCCTGTTCTACAAGACGGCAATATATTAACTCAAATTATTCTCCAATTTTATAGAAATGTAGTGCTCTCGAGTTTATATTTTGGATAACAGTCTTCAATTTGGCTTCAACCTTTCCAGAATTACACGAAATTAATAAAATTGAAGACTACAGTTGTCGCCATTGAGAAAGCTGTAAAGAAACATGAAATAATATTTCTTTATGGTTTAATATTTATGAACAACTCGAGTTTATTATTTTATATTTCAGAAAAACTCGAGTTTAAGGTTCTTTATTCTAGAATCTAATGTTGTATTTATCATTAAAAACTGTCCATTGTTCTCATTGAGAACTTGAATTTATTTATCATTTTTTATGTAATCGACGTTGAATAGTTGAATATTCAATAGTATGTTAAAATCTTTTATAAAACAGGATTATGTTTCCTTTTTATTGATTTATATGATTTGTTTCCAAGTTCAGGAGTTGTATTAAATAATAAACAAGGTAAACTTGATTTTATTGTGCAAACTGAACTTATTTAAGTATTCTTCAAGTTAGTGTAACCAAAAAAGGCTAACCACAAATAGTATATAAGAAATATATTTAAATGACGGTATGGTAAAAGTAAAAAAAAAAACGGTTTATTTAAAAATAAAGGAGAATACATATGTACAAGGTAGAACAATGTGGTACGATACCTGTTCAAAAATAATATTACGTCTCGCTGCAGTTAAAGACTCCATCAAATTTTTCTTTAAAATCAAACAAACAAATTTAAACAGATTTTAATCTTTGCCATTCAAGTTCGAGAGTTTTTTTTAATTTGGCCATTTAGCGGGGTTATTTTCATATAATTTTTAATGGATACCGGCTAGATGGCGCGTAAATTTACTCTAATTACTTCATCTAACATAAAAACGCCACAAAGACACATAACAATTGTCTTTATAGTGCTTCGTGCCGAAATAAAAATGAACTAAAACTAGGGAATGACTAGTAAAAATTGTTACATTGACATTGAGTGACGTTGGGGCGGCCAATGCACTGCTCTGCACCACCGCGCCGCTATCACCTTCTGGGGTGTCGCTGAGCGGGCATGCAAGCAAGTAGTGCACTTTTATGACTTCACAGCAAATTTCAAAATGTCGCACCAACTAATAAGTGTATGCGCGTGTGTGCGGGTATAACATATGCATACATATATATTTATGTGTATTTGCTGATTGTGAGCATATGTATATACAATCATATATGTATGTATGAAGTATATCAAGAAGTATAAATTATATGTCCCAAGCAACCATTGGCTTGGTTTCAATCCGTGAAATTTTATGGGAGCAACTAAGTATTTATTTAGGAGCACTGAAATTGATCATAAAAATAAGTTGAAGAATAGTCACGCTTGCATCTACATATGTGTGTTGAGTTGGTTGAAAAATGTATATAATTTAAAATTGAATTGAAATTAAAAAAATTTATTTTTTATGGCTACCAGGCTGCATCGAAACACACATACTCGCACATGATAAATAGTTGCACTCACGAGCTTTTGGCTGGCAAGTGCACTTGTTTTGAAGGCAACACGTCTTTATGCCCACATGATGCTTCAGCGTGTCAGCATTTTCAGCATTTTAGTTGAATATAATATATGCAAGATCATAAATGCAGTCTCCCCGGTTCTTATATTTTATTCATTAACTCGAAATTACTGGTTGAACACCCCAAAATTTTATAACAATCAACTCGACGAGGCCAATCAACAGCCGCACATTTATTTAAAACAAATCACTCGTTTCATTATTACAAACAGAATGTATGTATGTGCATATGTACTATATATAAGTATATGTATGTGCATATGTACTATTTATAAGCATATGTATGTGCATGTATATGTGCGACATTGTTTATTAAAAGATGCAAGAGAGTAGGCAAGTGCTTTGTGTGGGTGTACTGAAATAAATGAACAACATGAAACCCTTGAGCTCATACTCGTACATATAAGCATGTGAGTATTTGAATTTACCCAGCAATTAAAATTGGCCGGTCTGTATATGCATACATATATATATACATATACATATATATATACATATATATATACATATATATATACTTATATACTTGTATATATATATACTTATATACTTGTATATATAAAGCACTTGACATTCGTTCTTCAAGAATATGAGGTGTCCTCGTTTCATCAACCGTTAGAGAGTAGCGAATCGAACAAACTATAACAGCTGCCATTCACAATAGAATATCGAAATAGAATAGAAAAAAGAAATTGGTAGCATTGAAAGGAGTTATTATAGTACTTTAATGAGGTATCCTTATATTCTCTTATATGGAATTCAACTCGCTAAACTTTTTGTTGATTTCACATGTATATTATTTTTTGTGTACTAGTGAGCAAAGAAATGGCGAATCGATGACGAACACATTAAATTTATATATAATACAGCAGCGTCTCCCACTTTTAACCGCTATCGACATTAAAACCTGACTTCTAGCACTAAAAGAGCTAGAAAGAAGGATAATTCCCACAGCACCATTTCATTTTCTTAAACAAAAAACAATATTTTCAAAAAAAAAAAAAAAACTTTAGTAACCCACTCAAAGGTTCCAAGATTCATTAGAAGAGACGTAAACGTTATAATTCGAAACCCACCACACCATTCAAGGTAACAGGGTTCCATTATTGGGTGATTGAAGGTGCAGAGAATAAGGAGCCGCTAACTAATCATTAGATAATTTTAAATCACTGTTTTTACTGTGGGGTATTTCTGACCTCATTGTTCAATTATATATACATTTATATATCATATTAATCACTTGTTGTAAACAGTCCGCATTGTATTTACAAAAGAAAATCACAAATTTCGAACAAAACATGCAACAGGCTTGTAGTGTAAATAATATACAAGTAGAAAAATTAAGAAAATTTAAACAAAGAGCATATAAAATATAGAAATATTTATAAAGTAATATATGGTATCAAAAAAAGGCTTAACTACTGAAAAAAGTATTTGTTTTCAAGCTTATATTCAACATCATACTCAAACTCTTCTCCAACCTTATTAATATATAGTGTTTTCGAGTTGATATTTTTGATAACAGTCCCTTATTCGAGAATGGCATTTAAGTTAAAATAAACTACTACAATTTTCACAAAATGAGTAAGCTTTGATTCTGCAGTTGAGAAGCATGTTGGAAATTTGAGAAGAACTTTAGATCTCAACTAGAGATTTAATTTTACTCAGGTTTAGTTGTTTCTTGGGTATATAGGTATATAGTATACCGTTGAAAAATCAAATTCAATTTATCGAACATACAGACGGACATAAGTAAATCGACTCAGCATGGCAAGCTGCTCATTTATATATGTATATACTTTATATGGTTCCTGACGTTTCTATTTGGCTGTTACAAACATCGTGGTAAACTTAATATACCCTGTTCAGTGTACAAAAAAGGAACTAAAAAATTTTATTCGGCAGAGACATAAGTATACATAGGTACAAAGAATGTGGTAAATGCACATATATAAACTATATTAAAAATAGGGTGATAATGTATTAAAAGCGCGAAGTATATAACAGTTACATCTCAAAGCACTGCGTTCAAGGGTGACATGACAAGCTTCATTTACACAACAGATGAAATCTTTTTATTATCTCGTACAAATGTACAGCATTGTCAAACGAAAATAATTACTCCAGGCTAAATGTAAGCAAAGCTTTATGTCTCCTAAACTGAACATCTGCAGCACACATTGCTTCGCAAATAAAAATGTAAAAAAGTTTATAAATGGAAATATTATAAAACACATACAATACATACATATAGGGCTCTTAAATTAATTCGAATAACCCGAAAACCGATTATTCGAATATCCGTTCATCATTCAACTGCGAGTATTTGAATAAATGAAAATTGTTTGAAATCTAAGTAGCTTTAGATTATTATTATTATTATTTTTTTTTTTGAATGAACGCTTACTATCTGAATAGTCGACAACTTACGACTATTCGGATAGTGCACACCGAATATTATCCGGTTAGTCGATTAGTCGAATATCAAGAGCTCTATATATTTATATACATATGCATATATTTAATTAATAATTCTCAGTTTGTACATTTTTAGCAAACCAACAAGATTTTGTTTATATTTCTTCACACTAGAGTAGTGAACACTTGTACTTAGCTTCCGAATAAATAATGGAAATATTTAGAGTGAAAAGTAATGTTCTTAAAACCATATGTTCAAATATGGTATATATAACTCGAAAGATTATTCAAAAAGTTTTGGTGCACAATCGATTCTATGGTAAGCAAAAAGTCTGGGAAACTAATGTTGCTCAATCTGCTGTTATCGATTGTTGCGATTACATGATATTGCTTAAGTAAAACTTATCAACGAGTCTCGAATAAATTTGCAAGGGAAAAATTCCAATTGTAGACCTTAACTCAAGTCGACTTAAGCCACTTTAGCACATAACTTCAATTATAAGAATATATAGTATAAGAAAGTATAAAGTATATAGTATATTACTCAACATGTGGTTTTTCATGTTGCATATATGTATATACTTAAAGTAATTCAATTTTCGGTTCATCTGTGAGAAATTTGTTGATAAGAAGAAATTTCAGTAACCGAAATTTTATAATTTTTTAAGCAGTCAAAACTTCGCAAGGTCTATGTAATTAGTAACCAAATTCGAAGTGATGAAAGGAGTTAAAAACTGAACCCATTTCAAACAATATATGCAGGGATGTGTTCTTTTGGTAAGAAATGAGTTGGCAATGCCAATTGTAGAAAAAATAAATTAGTTGCACTCAACGTCGACGAAATGAAAAAGAGGTGGGAGTTGAAAACTAAGTGCTACGTGCACTAAGTAATCAAAAGAATCAAGTACAGCTATAAATAAACGCAATTTATGAAAGAATGAATAGCGACCAGACATCTTAAAACGTTCACAAAACCATATGCACTTGCCCATATGAAAAAATTCACACAATATGGTAACAATATTCATTCAATTAATTGCAATTTATCTGTGGTCAGATAATACGAACGCATTGCTCATTTGAATACGAGGCTTGATGCAATTAAAGCACACAAAAGATTAATACGAGTACAGAAAAGAGAAAGCGAACGAAATATAAGTATGTGACAAAAAAATAATAGGAGCTAAAATATATTTTTATGTGTAAAATTTTTTTTGCAAAAAAAGGCGGCTATTAAATAATTAATTAAATTGATCTCAAAAAAAAAAAATTACAAAAATAAAAAATGGTTGGAAATATGGCCAAAAGGCAAAAACAAACATTTTTATAGCTTCTTTATATGTATATTTGTTTGTATGTATTTCCCTCAGTTTGAAAAATTTTAATTGTTTATGTTTTTGTCGCCTTTTTGCAGCAAAAAATGTTTTGGCAACGTAACACAAACACTCGCTCGCCAAATGTGCAAATGACCAAGTTTCCGAGTTGTTGCTGGCTGCCTGCCCACCATACACATATAACAAAATTAAGTATATACACATTTGTTACGCGTTGCTCTGACCAAATAAAAAATAAATATTTGAAATATCATCTAAGAAAGTGCAAAATAAACAAATACAACTTAGGGTATATGGATTCACTCAATTTCACTTAAAGGTCGTAGGCACCAAGCTTGTATAACATAATGTCAGTTTGACAGCTGTCAACGATTGCGTAATATGATAGGACACATGACACATATTAGTTAACAGTACAGAAAAATGTTGTAGAGCGTGATTGGAAATTTTAATGCTGTAGAATTGGAAAACCTTAGTGACAAATTATTAAATTAGGGAAATATATATTTTTATTCAGCATAAATGAAACTCAAAATATAGGTGTAAGGAAAACGCTGAAATTAAAATATTATGATCTTGATTTTCATAGGAAACTGAAGAGAAAAAAGAAATTAGAGAAAATATTTTGATTAGAAAAATATCTAAAAAATCTAGCGGTAAAAATTCCTATTTCATTTTTTATAAAAAAAAAAAAAATGTTTATCTATCAAATATGAAATTTTTCATAAATAAAATAGCAAAAATTATTTATAAAAACATTTTCGAAAATCAAATATTCCAATCCTGTATATTAAATGAGACTACAAAAAAGTGTCAGAAATTAGTAAATATTGAAGTTCGGAAATCAAAAATGAAATGAAATATTTAGCTACGGGAACATATGTACTATATATTTTTATTATTTAAATGCAGAAAATATTTGAAACTGAAAAATTGAAAATTTCGATAACAACTGGGATTGCTTCAATTTTCATATCAAAAAAAATATAAATATATAATCAAATTCATATATTTTAATAACATTTAAAATTAAATTTTAAAAATTAAATTAAATTTTTTTAGTTAATTTTTTTTAAATTTGTTATTAAATTTAGTTTTTAAAATTTAACAATTAAAAATTTGTTTACATATTAAGCGAACTTCAATATAAAAAATTAAATAGTTGATAAAATTTTTATTAATTATTATTAAACCTTTAAAATCTATCTAATTCTATTAAAAAAATAATTATTTTACAAGCCTTCTGAATTAAATTTACTTAATTACTTTAATTGAAACAAATGTTAATAATTTTTAATTACAATATATTCATAATTTTTCCAATAAAAAAATTTATTTTTAAAACTTTGCAATAAAAATTTTATTTTTTAAATGTGTTAATTGAATTTAATTTTCAAAAAATTTGAATGAGTGTTGATTATATATTATATAATTTTTACTTTAAACAAAAATCATTTCTAAAGTTTGGCAATAAAAATGTTAATTTTTATTTATGATAATTGAATTTTAATTTAAAAAATTACATAAAATTTATAATTTTTAAATAAATTACTCATTATTTAATTCTAAAATTTAATTTTATTAATTATTTTAAAAAATTCTAAACAATTTCCTAATTAAAAAATGTGTAATGATTTTTCTAGTATAAAATTCAATTTAATGACTTAATTGAATAATTGAATTTTATAAAAAAAAAAAAACTAAACCAAATTAATTTCATTTTTAAAAATTATATTTTTAATTTAGATATTCATTATTAAATCTTCAAAATTAAATTTTATTATTTATTATAAAAATTAAATAATTTCAAAATAAAATTCCAATTCTCAATTTTTTTTGAGTATGCTTCATACTCATGAACCACCCTGTATCAGACAGCAAGCAAAGAGCTCACACTTTGCGAACCCAAATTTTTTGGCACCGACTTTTAAATAATGCAAATTGAAAAAAAAAATGATTCACACATACACAATATAACGGCATGTTATAGGGTGATAAGATCTGTATCACTCGTACAAGCATATACAAATACACAAATACTATGGCAAACCTTTTTGTTGTCCCACGCCAATGTCATTGAGGAGCACAGCGTAATCAGCATTATTGTTAATTATGTCGTTGTTGTTGTTTAGCATATTGTTGTTGTGCTGATTATTGAAATTATAATTGTGATTGTTGCGCAACCATTGTGGTGGCGGCGGTTGTTGTTGCTGCAAACGCTGCTGTATCAAATACTGTTGATTGCAGGTGAGCGCAGCGGTTGCATTTGTGCTGCTCAAACGCGGAGGGGAAGCTGCGACGCCGCTGCCTTTGTCAACACTAATGTTAGGTGTGCGCAAACCCACATCCACGCCCTGTTCGCGCAAATGCTGCTGCAGTAGACGACGCTGCAGCAATTGTTGTTGCAATATTTGCAATTGTTGTTGTTGCATTTGTTGGTAATAACGTATTTGATCGAGCTGCTCCGGTGTTATGGTTTGATGTTGCGCCGCCTGGCGATGCAGCTGCTGTTGCTGCTGGCGCTGTTTTTGACGCCGCTGCTTTGGCGGCATATTCAATGCGTAGTAATTCTCTTTGGTGGAGCTGCCACCCGATGCCGAGGAGGCATTGCTGTCGCAGCCACTGCTCGTGCTGCTGCTATTCGAATTGGCCACGTTGGCTTTGTGGGCGGCAGCGGCGGCCGCTGCGGCGGCGGCTTGTTGCCAGCATTTCACCTTGTTCTGGCAATCGTCGGTGCCGTTCGTGCAATTGCAGCGGTCGCTGTGCAATTTGGAAATGTCTACGAATCGCATGAGGAAGCTGAAGAACGTTAACAACATCGATCGAGTAAGGCGCGTGTGTGTGCTTCACATTAGCAACAACATTGGCGTTGTCGTGTTGTTGTGAAATGTTGAGAAATTTTTCTTTCAAATTCTAGTGTTTATAGCGAAATGTTGCGGTGCAACAAACAATGTTGCATGCCAAAGGAGGCGCTCACGTTTAGTGATGGAAATGTTTTTCAACACTTAATATTTTTGTTGTTGTATTGATTTCTTATTACTACCGCTTCTGCTTTGGTTTGAACACAAAATTATTATTTTTTTTTACTTTTTTAGTTTTTAGTCTTTATTTTTAATTTTTTTATGCTCGCTCTCGGCACTGCTCGCTCACTTGCCGACCAACGCGTTGTTGCGCGTTAAAATCACTTGCTGGCGTTGGCTTGCCACAGCCCTCGCCTTCGTGTTGCATCTACTTCTGTCTATATTTTTAGCTGACACGCTGTTGGCGCTGCTGCTCTGACGTTAGTCTGCAGTGTTTATGCGTCAATAATTAACTTAACCGCAACGTCGATTTATTTCAAAATTTTCTTTCGATTAACTTTGGAATTTTTAATAAAATTTTTACGCTGCTTTCAGATCACACTTTACGCTGTTACCACGTCACTCATTGGATTTTACAGTTTATTTTGGTTGTTTGATTATTTTTGTAGACAATATATACAGATGAGTGTGTATATATATAAATAAGCATGTAGCTGGCTTCAAAACTTGAGCTGCCACGCTGTAAAAGCGAAAACTTGTAGAACAAACCAAAATTGTTGATTTTTCGAAGCTATTTGTATTTGGTTTACTTTTTCGTGCTAACATCAAAATTTATGAGTTCTCTTCAACATTAAAAAAAAAATAGAAATAAAAAAAAATATATATTTCTTGTTTTCTGTTTTTGTTGTTGCAATATATGACTTCGGCTAGAACAATTTCGACTTGTTTGCTGTGCGCATCGATAAAAATCTAAAATTAAATGTGTTGCAGTTGCATGCCATATAGCGCGCGCGGACCTCATGCCACCGTTTGTTGCACCACTACTGCATTATACACGCTCGTACGGTTTAGAGTTGGCCGCTAAAGGAATATTTGGTGAAAATTTGTAAATTTGTATTAGCCAAGCAGCATGTGCCGCAGCCATTTTTTGATCGATTGTTTTTTTTTTGTTTTAGTTTTTGGAAATTTATGGCCTTCTTGCAACAAGGCAGCCAGCTAGCGGCTGCATGCCACAATTGCCTGTCGTTGCATGCATGCAAATGAGAACGCGCCAGCAATTTGGTTCACTCGAATTGACTTTAATATTTACTAATGCAAACAAAAGGCGCTAGCAAAAAGTACAGTTGCAAAACTGGGCTAGAGTGCAACAGCGCTTTGGTGGCCCTTAAACGAAAGTAAATTGAGGCTAAACAATTCAAGGAAGCAAAGCAACGCATGCAAATAAGCCTTTGGATTTGCAACCACAAAACAGAAAAAAACACACACACACATACAGTTGCATTTATGGCACACACACACACACCATGACATGTCTGACAAGGTGTTATGCCACAACAATAATTCACTTTAGAAGTTGCCGCAACGCTATAAATCGTGCGCGGAAGTCCTTCCCAGCCCCATTGCTTACTTTGACTACACCGCTTGGAGACAGTCTCTTGCCAGCTATGCGAAATTTATGCACAATTTTGTTGTAAACACTTTGAATAGCTATAAATTTAGTCGAGCACTCGATAGTGACAATCCTAGTTATAGTAGCAAAATGCCAGGCGAGCTTTAATTAGCATATTTGCAGGCGAGTCAAGAACAGTGCAGGTGTTGCAAGCACAAGCAGTACAGTACAGTTACCATACAATTTTATGGAAAATATACATATTATTTATGTAAATTACTGTTCCACAAGCTTGTCCTCGCAACAACGAGGCAACGCAATGAAGCAATTTTATTTGTTAATGAAATTAGAACGAGCTATAAAAAGGCGAAACAGGTAGACCTGGTAAATGTCAACGAGGGCAATGCTGTGATATGGTGATAACGCTCTTCAACATAGAAAAAAGAGAATGTTATAACGAATTTACGGGGTAAATCAGATGTTTTATAACTATGAAAGCAAAATCAAGCAATAAAAAGAAAAAACGTCAACTTCGGTTGGACCGAAGCCTGATACCCCCCTTCACAAATAAAATAAGTGTTTCCAAACAAGAACTTCATTTTGATCGGACTGCTTGTATGGCAGCTATACATATAGTAGTGCGATCCGAATAATTTCTTCTAAGATTGTAGTGTTGTCTCGGGCAACCATGTATGCCACATTTCATGAAGATATCTCGTCAAATAAAAAAGTTGTCCATACCACATACCCTGTACAGGGTAAAAGTCTAACAGCAATAAAAATTATGGTCGAAGATCTGACTTCAATATCGCTGAGTTCAAGAAGTGGATATGAATGATATGACTGCTTTGTATAATATTTGCTTATAATAAAGAAATAGAGACAGAGGGATAAAGGAAGAGAGAGAGAGAAAGTTGAAGATAGAGCAACAGATACAGGGAAAAAGCGAACTTACAATTTAGATTTTACGACTGCGTCAAAGTAATTAAGGTTATACTAAAAAACCCTATTCATAATAAAAATATTTGAGAAATAAAGGGATATAGAGATAGAGAGAAAGGTAGAGATGTATAGAGATAGCGAAATAAGGATAAAGATAGAGACAGCGATAGATAGCAAAAAAGAGAGATAATGAACTCAACTTTACGACTAATGTAGCTTAAACTACATGGATTTTCAGATCTCATAGAGAAGTCTCGTTCAAAGTCGAAGAAAATATGAACAAGTATGCAGCTCGACTTTATAAGGTCATGGTGAATAAATTTTAAGTACATAACTTATAACACTAAACAACAACAATTCATGATTATTAATTTAATTTTTTGTCGAAAAGCAGAAATTATTTGCACAAAATCTACATACATACAGACAAACATAACAAAATCGCGCTATAACAGAAAAACACAAATCGTCTACTTATTCACACGCACCTGCAGTGCACAAAAAAAAACAAAAACAACCAAATATATATTTTTAAATTGGCGTAAATTTTTGATAAGTGAGATCATGAGTATGAGGTGTGCGAGCACGAGTCACATGCGGTAGAGAAGATATAACGGCACAAAGAACCTTCATATAGAGAATAACGAAAGTAGACGAGCAAAGAGAAAAAATTGTGATATTTATTAAATTAAATGCATATAAACTTTATTTTCGTAAACTAATTTCGGCGGCGGCACATTTTCAGATACAAAACTGTTTTTTTTTAATAAAATTTACAGTAATGAAGAAAAGGAATTGCGAATTAAAATTTGTGAAAATTATTTTCTATTAGAATTTGAAGGTCTTTTGATGAAGATGAAATTATTTATTTTGCAAATTTCATTTAATTATTCAGAAAATAATGCACAGACTTCTTATACAAAAAGACATATGTATATATTATATATTTTATATGTATATATCAAATACACCGAAGAGAAAATTTTGGTAAATATAAACAGTTCCGAATGATTCATATTGAACGAAAATAATTTTGCAACAAATATGTCAAACCATAAATACACGCCTTTTCGCTTTAGTTTTGAGCAAAATTTTAGCCACGCCAAGAAAGTGCAGAACCTTTAACTTGTGAAACCCTACCGCTGACCTAACGCCACAACAAAAGTGTGAATCATGTGCCAACTAAAACACATATATGCATATATATACATATATAGACATGTACATATAGACATGCACATACACACACATTACAGTCGCTACACTCAGCGACAAACAAAGCCAGCAAACTTGAGAATGACGTGTAAAAAATTCCTTATTTTGTCATTTCCTAGTACGCCTGACTTCAAGCCCCCGCTCATCCTCCGGCATAGCAGTTAGCACGCAAGGGACAATGCGTCTCAAATTCAACACAATGCAACAAAAAACTACGACTGAGCAAAAGCTCACACTTGCAGCTGCGTGAGCTGGCGCCATTGACTATGCAACATTAGCTGTATGTGTGTGCGTTTGTGCAAAAGCGAAAGTTTCAACTGCACACAAATCAAATTCACTGTCTACCACATGCCACCCAAGCATCACACTTGCAACTGCGACCTCCTCTCCTGCCACATGTACGCAGTAACGGCTCTTAACTAGCTTCCTTTTGTCTTGCTAGAAATTTACAACGCACTCTACAACAACTACTACATCCGCTACAGCAATTCAATATTAAAGCGCGCCTAGGACCACCACACCCCAGCAAGAGCACGCGCAGCGCCAACGTGTCTACAATGCAGGCAGCAGAACACCCGTGCGAAGATTTTTCTACCCTTTACTCAACTCATATCCCGCCTTCCTCCAGTGTATCCAATGTGTATAGTGACTGGCTCCTTGCTTGTGTAACTTTTGACGCATTGTTCGAGTGAATGATGCAATGCGAATGGGTCGTCCTGGCAAAGGACCTGCTGTCACTCAACTTACATTTAACTGTGCACATATCTATACACATATATATATTGTAGATATATTTCAGATATATATATATATATATATATATATATATTGCCTGTCTAGATTTCAAGCGTCGTTCCAAGTGCAGCGACAGCGCCTTCATGGCGCAGCGTCCGCGTGTCAGAGAGTTTCGCAATTTATTTGCAAAACATTGCACAAGTTTTGCTTCACTTCACAATTTCTACATTATTTCAATATGACTTGCCTTTTCTAGATTTTTTTCCTACTCTATTTTATTTATTCTATAATTTGCCTTAAAATTGTTTGCATCTACAAAAATCAAAATGGCCGACACACTGCCGCCATCCAAGCATGTAGTTGCGTTCTTTGTCTCTGTGTGTGTGCGTTTGTTCATTTGTGTATAAATGGAAAAGTTTGGTCGAACGTGCAACTGGAAAGGTAAGCGAAGCGAGGCTGCTGATTATTTGCGCAACTTTTTGCAATCTCTCGCCACCTTCGCCACGCCGCCAGAGAAATCGATGGCAACCGGCCAAGATTTTGTTGTGTGTAGCGGCGGGTGTTTAAGTTAAAGGAAGGTAGCGGTGGCGAGCTTTGCAAAAATTAATGGGATTATGAAATATTTTTGCTGCTAATTTTGAGTTAAGTGACAATAAAAACAATTTGCTTATGGCATTTCATGCGAAAGTTATGCAGGTGGGGCTGATTGTTTTCGTAAATAGCGCAACTAAAAAGGTGAGAGGAAGTGAAAGTGAAGCGAAAAGTCGAAATTTACTAATTATTTATATATTTAGAACACTTGCAACTAATATTAGCACTGTGAGTTGTGCTGTGCACTTTCACTTTGTTCAAGTGAAACTGAGCTTTAATTGCCAAAAGCATGTTGGCGCAATAATAGAAGCATTGATTTTTGGAAATTCTTCTACAAATAAATAAATTTCTAGAACATATACATATGTGAGAATAGTTCTCCTTGTTCGCTTTTTTATTTCTTCTTCAAATAATTAGTAACGCATTTAAAACTTTTCTTTTAACTCAAACAACAGCAATGTGACTTATATGTTTCGAAAACTAATCGATTACCATTATTTGTTGTTGTATTTTCTGTTTTAATGAAATAAATTTTTACTCAAGTATAGGTAATCCTCATTCTCCTTAAATAAGGCTTCATCTTGTTTCTTTTTATCTTAAAATCTTAATTTTTTTTTTTTTATTTCATTTTTGTAATATTTTTTTATTTTTTATATGTATTT